TTTTTTTTTTTTTTTTTTTTTTTTTTTTTTTTTTTTTTTTTTTTTTTTTTTAAGATTGCATGTACTACTTTTTTAACTTTCAATCGAAGGTGCACTCATTATTTTTTAACAAAATATTTTATTTATATTTTTACTTTAGGACTGATCTTTATATTCATGTAGTAAATAATCAAGATGAAATGATGTTGATTCCTCAAGTATTAGAAGCAGTGGATTCCAACTCAAAAGTTCTCAGTGAACATGCAGAATTTAAAATTCACAAAATAGTTGTAAGTTCTTATAAAGTAATTTATAGAAATAAAATAATACATGTATTATAGTGAATAAATAACATCACTTAAAAGTACTTTATATTGGTGTCTAAAAAAATACTTGAATGGTATGAAAATGTGTTACATTTTGTACTTTATTCTAAATTATTTTTTAATTCCCTTACAGCCAGCTTATGTGAGTTTTTTGGAAGAAGAATTTGACATGGCCTTAGCTGCACTAATTGCGCTGCTGGTAGTCATTTTCGTTGGTGTTATCACCATGATTGTCTGTTGCCTTTGCTTGAAGAAATGGTAAGATATTCGTTACTCTAAAAATGCGATGAGTAACATAATAGTGTTTTTCCAAAAATATTTTAAATATGTTTTTCTTTCTTTTAATGTACGATCTTATGACATTGGAAAAATATGACAAGCATTGCATTTGCGAAGTGAAAGTCACTATCTTTATGATTCATTGAGCTTTTTATTCACATTTTTTCATTCACGTTCTTCTCTTAAGCAAGCACGTTCGTCGTAAAAATAATTTTTTCAATCTAACTCCTATAGCCACTCAAAACCTAAAGATTCAATAAAATTTTACGCTATTAGAGAATATTAATTGTTGAGATCTGAACTAGAGTTATAGAAGACGATTTTAAATTTTCAAGAAAGTTTTTTACCATGTCTTTAGGTCTTGAAGACGTAAGCCCCAATTAACAATAACCTTTGAAGCAACAGGTGTCAGCTTATTAGACGTAACTATAAGTTTAATTTAATTTCAGTTAAAAAAAGTGACAAAAGTAATTATCAAAACTAAAATCTATTCAATAATACTTATCACCGTCGCTCCGTAAATCCGTTAAGATATATTTTCAGAAATGACTTTCACCCTCTAATGAAATTCCAATTTTAAACCAAACTTAGAAGGGAAAAAACGAGTCAAATATGGGATATACTCGCCATCATGTTGAAGGTTTTTAAGTGAAACTACTTCGTATATGGGTTCAAATTAGAGACGGGAGGAGGGACTCTAATGCCTTCTAGTATTATCGAAGTGATAATTGAGTTCATGACTCAGTAGCTACTGGGGATATATTAATTAAGCATTTTACCTCATGCAGACTAAAATAAGCATCAACTAGCCTTTGATGCTGTTCAAACCTTGGTAGAGTTTGTGTTGAAAGTATATTTAATGTTTAATGTGTTCTTCAAATTATATTTTAAGAATCAGGGTGCCACAGATCACTAAATCTCGAACCCATTTTTGAACTTTCGACTGAGCCAAAAGGCCATGGGGTTGCCAAATAAAAACTAAGAACATGTATTTTTTTTTTCGTTCATTAGAAAACAATCAAAAAACATGTATTTATTATTATTATTTTTTTTTTGTTTATTAAAAACCAAAAAGAAATATACATTTTTTGCTCATTAAAAAACAAATATTAATTTAATTCTTATATTTTAATTAACATTTTAAACAGTTAAAACATTTTGAATACTACTCTTTCATTGATAAAAAAAAATATAGCTATTATAAAACATTACATGTTTTCACATGTCCTGTTAAGATTTTCAATCAATTAAAAAGTTTTTACTCATTGCATGTAATGAATGTAGTGTGTAGTTTACGTATTTGCTTCCTTTTTCTTATTGCATTTGACACATTCCACATAATTCATTTATGATTTCATTGTAAACATAAATGCAAATCTACAGGGTATTTTATGAAAACAATCAATATTGGATGATGATTAAGTTCTCACTGTTTATTAATGACATCGCATTTATTTTATTTAGGTACACAGTGAAAATACAAGAAGCTCTCAGTAAGTAATTTACATTCTTCTAGCTTAAATATAGTACAGATATTAATGCATTATAAACGTAAAACAAAATTAAATTAAATTTAAGGAAAGGAGACAGAAGAAGGGAATGAGAAAGTCCTCTTGTATACTGCTTCGATAGAAAGCTTTTATACAGCATTTAATTCGTGCTGCTTTTTGTTAGACTAGTAACTAGTGCATTATTCATCTTAATATTTTATAAATGTTAAAGGGAATTTGGCATTTTACTGTCTAAAACTTTTAAATTCCTAAAAATTCCGAAGTTCTATTCAACTCTTTTCATCTATTTTATGTATTATTTCTTTCTTATATTCTTTAACTACTTCAAGCCCCCAATAATGCAGTATATTTTATTTCAGTACCTCGAGAGGAAGCAGATAATATGAACACAACGTAAGTATTATTGTAGTCCAATAAGTATAGTATAATCTATACATAATTATTGTTATTATTGTTATCGCTATTATTATTAATATTGTTATTAAACTTTTAGTCTGCTAACTGTTATACAATTTTAAGCGCATTCGTCAAAATATGCAATAAAACCTACCTTTAAAAAAATATTTTTTCCAAAAATATTAAGTTCGTTTAAGTTGCATCGCTTATCATATTTAAACAATTTTCTTATTTCCTACCTAACATTTGATGTTCTGAAGTAAATTTTCTTTATCATTTGTGTATATACATACATTGAAAATTACCTTATACAGTTACCTTACACAAAAAAAAAGGAAAATTATGATTATGCATTGTAACGTATTTGAGTAATTAAACTTTAAAATCATTAAACTTTTTCAATAACTTTAATTTTTTCTTCTAACTTTTAAGTCAAACTTATTTTAGATGTATAATTGTTTGATGTGATGTATTAGCTTACTCTTTTGTTTTGCAATCTTTACAAATTTGAAAATTGATATGAAATAAAACATTGTTAAACTAAATGGTCATAATCATTCAATTATCATACAGTCTAATTTTCTTTTATGTTTCAGAGAGAATCCATTGTGGACAGAACAGTAAGTATAAATGCATTATTCATCTGCACATATGATATTTTATAGAGTCTTTTATATTTAAATTAAATTTGCTTTTTAATGAATCAGACTATCATTCTGAATCATTTAGTAAAAATATTTTAAGTTAAGGTATTTTTACACTTTTTTTATTGAAAAACAAATTTGTTTTATTGAAAAACATCAAAAGTTAGAATATTTTCTTTGAAAATGATGTAGCTTTATTCTTTTAGTTAGAGGAAAACTTTTAGAAGAAACTTTTATTAAATAAAAAAACAAATCTTGAGTTTCTCTTCCTTCAGATTTATTGTTTTCGACTCCCTCACATTATAGTGTGTTGTGAAAATGTAATAAAATAATAATAAAATACCACTGTGGTAATTATAATAAATTAGTAATATTTCGAGTAAAATAATAAAAAATTAGAATATGTAAACCTAGAAATATGTCAATTTTTAAAAGCACTGAAAATATACATTTTATGGTATAAGAGGTATTTTCGTAAATAATGCTTATTACATGTCAATTTATGTGACATAGAATTCTGAATTCATCATTTTTTTTTTCGTTTCTTCAAAAATTTGAACATTAAGTAGATAAATCTTTTAAAATTTTAGTTGAAGCGTCGGATATGTTTCCAAAATAAACTGATTGGGAAAGAAGTCTGAAAGAAGTTTTCAAAATTTTACTTTTTTTAAAAAACTAAGCTTCGCTTACCAACGCAAGTGACAGCTTCTCATTCATCAGTGTTCATTTTTCCTTAAAAGTCACCAAAGAATAAAATAAATAAAGACTGTTTTGTTTATAAAATATATAATTATTGTAATTTTATCTGGAGTACAAATTAGTTCGGTCCGCTTTTTTGTGATCAAAAATACATTTATTTCAGAACAAAATGAATGAACAGATTAATCAAAGTATTGTCCATCGCTGGGTACAACTTTTTCCCACCTCTCGGGCAATTTTCAAACTACATCTCCAGAAAATGTCTCGTCTTTTGAGGCGTTCCAATTAAAGGGCCAATTTTCGATTTCTGAGACAGAAGTGAATCAGTGACCTGCCAAATCGTGCTGCATCCATTGGAACAACCAGTAATCAGAAACAGCAATGCCCGGCGAATATGTCAGGTGCTGTAAAATATCCCACTCGTGCGTTTCCAAATTATTTTTTACGACCTTTGCGACATGAGGCCGAGTGTTATCATGCAGAAGAATAACTTCGTTATGTCTTTGCTCATATTCCGGCCGTTTTTCTCGTAATGCACGACTCAAACGAATCAAGTGTAGCCTGTACCGATTGCCCATAATGAAATCGCCAGATTGAATTTTTTTGGCTGTCCAGAGCGAGGCTTGTCTTCAATGCTGAAATCACCATTCTTGAAACGTCGAAACCATTCCCTACATGATTTATCAGATGAAGCATTGTCACCAAGCATTCTACAAGCATTCGATGCGCTTCAGCTGCACTTTTCTACCAATTAGAGCAGAAACGTAAAACCTCCCATAAATGCTGCTTAGTTACCTCAAAATTTGACATATTCGACAAAGTAAAAAACAGCGTTTTTGTATGAAACTCAAAGCTATATAAACTGAATATTATTGACAGATGTCAAACCTCTCTGAAACCACCGAAACCAGCTGTCATTATGAAACATTCATAACGGCTAGAGCCATCTTTTGAAAACGGACCGAACTAATTTGTACTCTCGATATGTAGGAACATTATGTTAGTATGTTGATTGTAAAGAAATGAATTATTGCCTAGATTAGAAGAATAATCAACTCTGCTTGAAAAAAAATTTAACCTACAATATACAGGCTGCGTGTATTCGATACTTTATTTTTGATTAAATATCAACAACTCTTAGGTCTCCTAGAATAATTCGAGAGTAAGTTCACAGTGAGCTATAACGTGACTGTCTCCAAGCTATTGCATTCTCACGCAAACGCTCTCATCTAGATTTTTGAAAATTGATATTTTATGCTTGCGCAGATGGGGCTGTAACTGTATAATTGTCATATTTATGTTGCATTATATTGTGAATTTTACTAAGAGTCCCTTTTCTTCTTTTTAGAAAATTAAAGCTGTACGAAGAACAGGTAATTTGAATTTTTTTTTTCTGCATATGTTTCGTTAACCCTGTTACTTATCACATTAAGTTTAACGTTATTTTTAATTCCCGAATATGAATTATGCAAAATGAATATTGAAGAATAAATGTTTTTCAACGTCGTTTGCAACGAAACAGCTTTGAAAAATATTGAATCTAAAATTTTTAAATATCTATTTCTGAAAACTTAGTATGACATTTCTTAAAATTCCTCTTACTCGATATAAATCTTAAATGCTTGTATTATAATACCAAAAGACTAAATTTCAGTTTATTCATAAATGTCGTAGAACTAGTGCTTAAAAACCTTCACGAAAAGACTACTTTGGAGATACCGAAATAAATCGTAGAATACCTAAACGTAATATTCAGATTTTCTTTTTCCATCGTAACTCTGGGAAGTAGGAGCAAGAATAGTTTCGTCTGACGGAATATTGAATAGACAGACTTCCATTGTCTGTTAGCACTGACGATTATTTTATTATGCATGATGACTTTTCATACAATGTTAATGTTTAGGTTACTGTCAATGTATGGAATACTGGTATTCAATAGAATACCTAGCGTGTTTAGGCAAAGTATAAATTGTTATATACTTTGTCTAGACATTATATATAATGCCTGGGCTTTCTATATAATGACTAAGGCTTTCTAGCAATACCTGAAATACAGGGCCTGATTATTTCCTAGGCCCAATAGGTACGGGCCTAGGGCCCACACTTTCTGGGGGGCCTCTAAAATTAGTAAAAAGTTTACAATATTACTTTAAAAAAATACTGAAAGAAACAGTTTATCTCAAAAAAGGCATTTTTTATTTCAAATTTCTTTATATTGTGATAAACCAAACTCGCGTAAACATTGCACTAATCAAAGTTGAAAATACAGCTGAATTTTAATTGTTGCAGTTTTTACTCCAACGGTTTAAGCAAATGCGCCGAGAATGCATATTCGCAAAGTCTCTTATTAATGATTAGTGTGTTAACAAGAACTAAAAGCTTATTCTTAACAAATATGTAAAGCTGTAGAAGGAAGGCTACAATCTTTAAAATAATTCAGCTAATCAGTGACTTTAAGAAAAACTCACTGATTTCAATAGTTTGTCGTAACCAAACTATTTTTATTTTCATACAACATTGCGTTGTTTTATATTTTGCTTTAATATTTAGATACGTAAACTTTATCTTAGAAAAATAATCTTCAATTGTCTGCTTTCAAAATTTCTTAGAATGTTTCTCTTGAATCAGGCAGTTCAATAGATTCTTTTTCATTATTAGGACTACTCTTCAGAAATTTAATTTCAAAATATTTTGTTAGGGGCCCGGAAAATTGTGTGGGCCTTGGGTCTTAATTTGTCTTGATCGGTCCTTGCTGAAATACGAAAACTATTATGTACTTTTCCTAGTCATTCTATGGAAAGCCTAGGAAATATTTGATATAATCATCGTTTGCATTCTTTTCCTCTCCATGTAACGCAAATGCGGGTTAGTTCCATCAAAAAATCCTCCACGAAGGCAAATTTTACCCAGTACTTGATCCAGCAATTCCCTTATCTTCTGGATTGTGTTCAAATTGCAAGGCTACAGAGTTGAACATTTTTAGTCATAAACTCGAAATTGCTTCGGCTGTTCAACGAATAAAATAAAAAAGTATTATTTGAATAATACAATTTAATTGTTTGTTTGTTTTTTTAGTTTATATTTAAACTCTGTGGTGAGATGATAAATACAATATTGTGGTGAGAAATAAAAAACGATTCTTTTATTATAAATAAATCCTGATAGTAATATTGTGAAAATCTGTTAGTGATATTTAACAAGCACGTGTATATTGATTTTCACGTGCTAAATAATACGTTTTACTAAATTTGAGGCAAGGTTAATGAAGAAGAAAAAAAATCAAATCACATCAATTCACAGTTATGCACTGCGATGGTATATTATTTTAATTATTATTAAAAAAAGTTATTAAATCAATTTTTTAAAATTTATACATATATAATTCAGCAGAAAATGAGAAGAAGAAAAAACAGAAACAATTGTCAGAGATATTATAAGCCCATTTTTTTCCTTAGGAATTAAGTATGAGTGTTGTACCTGATCATGGAATAGAAAGTCATCGCCAGATCACGGCAGCAGAAGTGGAATCAGATGCTGTCTATGCCACTTTAAGAAAAGGCAACAGAATGGCAACATTTCATCAACAACCTATAAACGAATACGCTACTCTTGATGGATGCTCAACGGGTCAAACACTCGACATACAACCAGAGGTATTTTACCTTCTTTTTTTTATTCAAGTTTAAACTTTTACTCGATATGAATGTAAAAATTTATAAATGTTAAACACTAAATAAAATTTTACATGCAACAGAAACTAAAACTAGCTTTAAAATGTGTACCAATATCTCAGAAAAATTAAAGAAGTTATGAATACGACAACCGCTAAATTGAAATTACTTTAATTTACATATTGCTAAAGCAGAGTGTTTATACACCTTTTATATACATTTGTATAATCTAAGAAAGTAAAAGACTGTACTCATTAATATACACGATATTTAAGTATAAAAAAAAAACATTTTAAACTCTTACCAATCACTATCATGATCGCTCCCTTGATAATTTACATATTGCTAAAGCAGAGTGTTTATACACCTTTTATATATATTTGTATAATCTAAGAAAGTAAAAGACTGTACTCATTAATATACACGATATTTAAGTATAAAAAAAAAAAAACATTTTAAACTCTTACCAATCACTATCATGGTCAATAAGCAATTAATTTACAAGCCTATATGTACGTTTTTTGTTTATTTATTTTTTTTACAATGGATGTAAAAATATACTTTAAAGGTAATCATTTACGCACCAACACGCTGATGGATTCACACTCGCTTCATTACAAAAAACTATGCATCATTGTTTTTCTTATGAGCTTCAGCTCAGAAGTTTTGGAAAATATTCCTAAATTTACAATTAATTATTGTTTGGATTTTAACATTGCACTGGAGCCACACAATTGGGCTCTTAGTGATGGTCTGGGATTCAGTCTTGATAGTCCGGAGAAAATACTGACCGACGCACACACTATGCAACCATATTTTAGATCGGAGGGCAAATGATGACATTAATCACATGTCGTCTGCAACACGCTCCTCAACTGTTCAACCGTGCGTGAACTTGTCCATCTCTGAAACTGTCAGTTATATAAGAATTAATTCTAAACCACAAAAACCAAATCAGAGAAAGTGCACAAGAAATCGAATATCAACCCAAACAGTTCCAGGCCAATTATTTACTCACCCCACCGAATGGTTGACCAATAAATAATGCAAAACTTTGATATTTTTTTCAAATCCAATTTTGCTGTTAACATTTATCTTTTTTCATTTTCTCTTATTTTTATTTACTTATTATTGTTTCAGAATCATGAATATCATGAATTAAATACTCGTCAGCCTTCTGGATACATGACATCGGAAGCGTCAATCCTCTGTTCTTCACCAGAAGACACACAGCATCAGTCATCTCTCACAATCGACAAAGATGGTGAACCCGTCTTGGTGACAGAACTTTTATAGAAAAAGAAGATCTCATCGCTGGTCGATGAAGATAGTTGTTTTACAAAAAACTATACTAAAGGAATCGTGATGCCGATCTTCATAGCATTCTTTTCGATTTAGAAGAGAAAAAAGTACGAGCTAGTGCATCCATCTGTCAATCTATGTCAATTGAAATAATATTAATTTAATTATTATAATTAAATTTGATTTTAAATATTTAAATCATGTTTACTGTTAAGATGTGAAAAAAAACTCGTAATCAGTCGTAAAATCTAAAAAATTAAGAAAAAAAACATGATTCTAGAAATGAGATTTTGAAAGGAAATTACATTTTTTTTAAAAAAAATTCTCTTAATATGGGTTCGTAGTAGACATTGACAGTAACGTCTCGGAGTAATATTTGCAAGTCTAAATACGCCATCTGAACTTGACTGATTACCTCCCGCACTTTGTTGTAAGAAGTGACATTTAAAATATAACGAATCTACGTCACTAGTCAATGCTGCGCTTCCTCAGAAATCCCTAAAAAACATTACAGTCAGTGTGAACTAACCCTTACGACTAGACGACACAGATGAATAAAATGTTCGTAAAAAAAATAGATTACATTTTTTAACATTTAGGAGTTGTTTTTATAAATCTATACTTTAATAGTAAGTTGTTTAATTGCGTAAAGAAAAGAATAAAATATTCTAAAAATTGAATTTAAAATAACAAAAGTCATACAGTTACCATTAATTGTCTTATCATTCAATATAAATTACCCTATTAGTAAATTATGCTGCCAGAAACACAGTGATGTTCTTCATAAAAATAAAGATACTCTCGCGATAGAGGGTTACATTTTTGACAGCTTTTTTCCTTAAAATTCAATAAATAACATCCAATAGGGATTTTTGAGCAATCTGCTAATGGCTATATAATTTATTTATTTTTTAAATATTTGATTTTATCATAGAAGCATTCCATCTGTAACATAAATCAGAAAATTACCAGTAACTTATTTGATTCAATAAAAAATCTGACTACCATTACATGATTCATTACTGCACACGACAATCGAGAAAAATGAGTTACCAAGGAAATAGAAATTACATTACTTATACTAATAACCATGGAGAAAAAAAAAAGCATCAAAATGTTCCTTATGATTACATAAATCTAATCAAGTGTAATTTTTTTTTGATACAGTGTGTATTTAAAAGACAAGTTATATTTCACACCTTTGAATCGTATATTTTCACCACATTAAAAATAAAATGTTTTTGTATGTTGAAGAATATTAAGTACTTGACGTTCGAATGTTTACAATTGTACGTATTTTGTTGTATTATGCTTGTTGTCATGTTTTTAGAAAAGTTTTATATTATATTTTATTTTGATACTGAGTTGAGAGCAATAAAAAATACTGGTGAAAAAGAAGACTATTCAGTTTTATATTATTTCTGTTGTCCTTTGAAAAATAAGTCAATTGCACACACAATTAGTACATGAAATCTGCGCATAATATTTCTATTTGAATAGCATTTCCCTTTTCTTCAATTCCTTTTTCCTATGCTAAATTTAGAGTGCTAACAATTTATCATATTCTAATAAGAATAATATTATAAGACTAAAGTAAAAGTTTATCGGACCCATTTCGTTGTACATGTGAAGTTTGCATATTACATTCAATTGAAAGTCGTAGATACCAAATATGACCAAACAATTAAGGTTTTATTGAATAAATTTTCTGATTAATTTCTAAACTATTTCGTGTGTCTAGTGTCTTCATACTTTTAGCCAATTCTTCTTAACAATAGCCAAGGCTTGAATTTCATTCAAATAAATTCCATTTAAATACTGCTTAAAATCAAAGTGTATGATATTGTTTCGAAGAACGACATTCGAAGAAATTATTCATGCCTTAAAAATAAAGAGGTCACGGCACGAAAGTTCATTTCCCCTGCCATTCTGCTTATAGAGCGCTATTTAATATTCTCTCTAACTTTTTCTTCGAGATTGAGATCAAAGAAATGTGCAGCCTTTTATCCAAAAATTTCCCAATGTAGTTTTTGCAACGTAAATGGAGTCGTTATCATGATGGAAATTCTCTCTCATACCACCAATTCTCTCTCAAATGACAATAAAATGATTTTTACCAATTTTTCGTAACTTGGTAGACTTCATTTAGGAGCGAAGGGAACTAGGTTGCATTTACTTCCATAGCAGAAGCCTTCTAACAATATCAATAAAGTCTCCAGCTTGCCGTATATTGGTGAAAAATTCCTCTTCCATTCGTTATGCTTTATCATGTCAACAGAATTGTAAGGGCATGCGAGCCATCTAAATTCTGGTATTTTCTACTCTTCTTTGCTCGTGGTTAGCTTTCTACGTGGGCAACTCTTTCATGCGTTTATATAGTTAAGTGCTTGTACGAAATGGAAATAACAGTCGTAGATGAAAAAAGAAAAGGGAAATATTCTCCAAAAGACAGCACGATGAAAGAGGAGGAAGATACGGATATGATATTAATCCCCTAGGCCATATGAAATCTATCGCTTAGAAAAAGATACTAAAAACTCATTTTTTGCTATTTGCAAAAAGAATTAAGGGCCCAAGTTATTTTACAGCACGAAAACGCTTCAATTCAAACTGAAAGATTACTCAGAAATCATTTATGGATAATAATAAAAAGTACATGTATTGGAACGTCCTACCCTTTTCCCTGATCACAGTGTCCAAGAAAACGTGAAGGAGTAATTTTAGTAAAACTGCAATACTGTACGACGTACAGAATCTGACTGCAAGCTATCAGTGCAGTATCAGAACTAGAGAGAACACCAGTTCCATGTCTAGAGCCTCCCACTTTACCATTATTCCTCTCTTTAGGTGTATATGAATGTATTGTTTAAGCACTCTGTATAAGGGAGCATTCACAATGCATGCGATTGCCATAAGGCTATATGACACGAGGCAACCTAGTTGGTTGCCCGGTTGCTTTCAACTAGTAACTGAAGTTAAAACCTTTCAACTTTAGTGGAACAACCAGATTAGTTGAAACGTGTCATATAGTAGTTTCCAAATACTTTCAACCTTAACTAGCAACCGTTTAGTAAACAAAATACGCGTGCTGATTCTGACGCATCCTGAATTTTTATCTTTTAAATTTAAACTTCGTTTAATCTTCTAACTATGACTATTTTAAATGGAATTCTAGTGATATATGCATTTTTTTTTTTATTTTTTTTTTATTTTTTTGAAATTTTTCAAACGCATTCTTGTTTTTAGGACATAAATTACAAAGATTATGCGAATAAACTAATTCCCTATAAACTAATTTCCTCTATGGAGATATTAAAAGTTACNCGATAATTTTTTCCTGAAAAAGTAATAAATAATAATAAATTATATAATTTGTTTTATTAATTATTATTTCTGAAATAAATGGCATAATCATTATTAATTTTTATATTTTATTTAAGGCATTTATTAAAAGCTGAAGTCTTTTCATAAGTCTTTTTTTTTTTTCATTGACGTTAATTTTTTAACAATTTCAGATGCTAGACAATGTTTCTTAAAAAATCTGTAATATCATGTGCTTTCCAATCTTAAAGTTTATATTATTGATACTTTAGTATATACTCTTAGAATAACAGAACCTTCAGAATAACACCAAATGAGCGAGTGGCGCCAATTTCGGTGTATCATCTGGCTACCCCCTTGGACAAAAATCTGACGGCAGCGCATGCGCTCTTGGATATTGTCATCACACTTTTCAATACAGGCACGCGCGAATGCTTTGAAATAACGTGTAAGGCGAACTGCTCGTGCATTCGTGAATGGATCAAGAATCGTGCGATTACATTATGCAGTGAAAATTCTAAAAAAAAAGCAAATTATGGTTTCAGACATTTTCCAAACTGAAAAAATCAGATTGGTGTAAAAAAAATTTACTGCGAAAAAACATGGCAATCAATTACTTGTTTGCATGCGATAATGACCGTTGTTGTTGTTGTTGTTGTTGTTGTTAATTTACGTCGCACTAGAGCTGCACAATGGGCTATTGGCGATGGTCAGGGAAACATCCCGGAGGTTGATCCGAAGACATGCCATCACAATTTTGATCCTCTGCGGAGGGGATGGCACCCCCGTTTTGGTAGCCCGACGACCTGATCGCGAAGTCGAGCACCTTACGGTAGCACAGTTTAACGAGGACCAATACCGCACACCCTTGGTCCTTACGCAGACTGATCCAAATGGTCACCCACCCGCACAGTGACCGTAGCCAGTGATGCTTGACTTCGGTGATCTGCTGGGAACCGTGTCTTAACGATCAGACCACTGTGGGACAATGGCTGTTTAGAGAGCATTTTAAATGAGTGCCATTCGTATGTGCGATCGCGCATGTTGTTGTTGTTGTTAATTTACGTCGCACTAAAGCTGCACAATGGGCTATTGGCGACGGTCTGGGAAACATCCCGGAGGATGATCCGAAGACATGCCATCACAATTTTGATCCTCTGCGGAGGGGATGGCACCCCCGCTTCGGCAGCCCGACGACCTGCGCGCGAAGTCGAGCACTTTACGGTAGCACAGTTTAACGAGGACCAATACCGCACACCCTCGGCGATCGCGCATGCAGAGCCTTACAAGTAGCTCGTGCATCCAAATTACCAGATTGACCGTGTATGCGAGCATGGAGATGCAAACGAGAACCTTATTGGTAAAATACTTTTTCCCACTCGCCAATCAGCTAGAGTTCTATCTAAACATAACAGGTTCTCCTTCTCTTTCGCTGGTGTTTGGAGTTGCGTACGTGAAATAATTACAGTAGAAACTGTCCCTAAAAATATTAAAATTATTGCTGAACGCCATCTAAGCTTTATTTTTGGCACTAAACTAAATCAGAAGGGAAAAAATGAGTTAAACTTCAAGCGAATTATTTAAACGTTTCGAATGTTTTCAGTTGTTTTCCGTTTTAATCCATAAGAACACTGTATATAAATAGTACATATTACGAATTCGAAAAGTGAAACGGAATGAAAGGTTTAGTTGAACCGAATAAATAGTTTGCAGTTGCAGCTTCTTTGGACTAATATTTATATTTACATATCTTTATAACGGCAGTAACTATTTTAATTTATTATAATAGATGCTTCGAATAGGTACTAATAATTAATTTACTTTAGATATCATTGTTTCCTAAGAGTAACTAAAATCTATGTTTGTTTTTTCATTGTGTTTAAATTGTATGTTTTGGTGAACGAAATTTATCTGAACCTTCTCATTCATTTATAAACTTCTAAGAAATAATTCTTTGGAAGATTTTCAATAATTAAGATTCTTGAAAAAAGAAATGATTATTTATTTGTGGGGGTTAATCCATTAATTTGTTTATTACCCACATGTTTTACAATTGTAGTTGGCGTGAACAGGTACCAATATAGAAACATCACACTTTTCCTAAATATCTTTTTTTGTTCATTGTTAGATTGCATATAGAGAAAAGAATCATTAAATTTTATATGATAGTTTGTTGAAATTGTAATATCTTTTATTTTATTCTATTACATTTACCACAATTTATGAATGATTTATCTTTAACTGAATCACTTGATATGAAAAAAAAACATAAATCAAATTATTTGCTTAAAAATGGAGAAGGCATAGTTTTATTGTTACATAATTGTATAAATTTTATACTCTAAAATGCTCTTTTCCTTAAAATAATTTTGCAGATCTATCCTTGCATAAAGATACATATCTTTTAAATTACTATTCAACTACTATTTTATTTAATTCAACAATTTCCCTGAGTGTGAACTACATTTTTTAAAAGCTATATATTCTTTTTCACTGCGGAATAAAGGGCAATGAAATGACTGATGATTTGGCCAAAAAGGGCACCTACATATAACAGGTCAATAATAACCCGCCGAAGTCAAATGAGAAAAATGCAGGGTTTCTGCACACCTGGAATATCATGGATTTCGGTATTGAGCAAAGTTAGTCATAATTTTAACTATTTTTTTTTTTTAAAGAAAAGTCATGGATTTAGATGGCCGAAAAATCTAATTTTTAAAATGGAATTTACCCCCTCCCAATTTCATAGTTTTCCGAATATCTGAATTTGTAACAAAATCCCCACTCACAATCATATTGGATGAAATATAAAATGTTTTTTGTCTTTATCGTGTTCTTTAAAAATTATGGTGTTCTTTCAAAAAATGAAAGAAAAAACATAATTTTTAGAGCGAATTATCTTTTAAACTTTAGTGATTGTAGAATTTTTTTTTATCGATTTAAAATTCTAGCTGAAGCAAGCCAGTCACTGGGGAATTTTTTTATTCTGAAATGAGAACAGAAAAATCATGAGTATTTCTCTCCTTTTCGATGAACAAGAAAAGTATCTTTAGAATGTAATGTTTGCAGAAAAAAATTATTTGCTTTTGTATTTTTTTCAGCTATTATATTGCTTCAACTCTTTCATCAATCTGTTTTCTTAATTTAAAATCTATAAATATGAAGATGCAGAGTATAACAGTTTTGGTTATACATATCATTTCAATTAATGTTATTATAATGCTTTTTTAAATTTATTGTTGTGTTATTGTCAGAGAAAATAGTAACTTTGTTAAATCAGGAAAAATTCTTGGAATTAGCCATGAAAAGTCATGAATTTGAAAATCTAAAATGTAGCACATTCCTGGAAATGTCTGTTTTTAATTTTTATGCAGTTGTTCTCTTGAGTTATGTTATTTGTATCCTGTGTCAATCCCCTCTGCCATTAGAGATAAAATATATGTACACTGCATGTACAGCAAGGAGTCATTTAAATTTTATGTAAGCTTATTATTTGTGATTTTGGATCTGCTTTGTTGGTAAATCCCAGATGTTTTCTTTTCTCCCTTTTAATAGAAACTTTTTCTGAAGAAGGGAATTTCTCTTGTCTTTATCTGTCCTCTATTGACCGCAAAAATTAGCAATTACCAACTTAATTAGGTGTTTATCTATTATTTGAAAGATCCCAAAAATCGACAGAAAAATAACTTCTGAATAACCTTTTTTTTTTAAATAAAATCTATTTTGCCTTTATCATTAGTATGTAATATAGTTTTGAAAACATAATATTCAATTAATACTGCAAACATCTTTAAAGCCTCTGTAGTTTCTATGAAATATTTAAATGCATAGTAATTAACCTATTATCTTGATAGCATGATTTTGTTAATATCCATGTGTAGTTTTTTTTTCTTTTGACCTAGAAAAATTGCAGTCAAGATATGCATGCAACTGGTCGCTTTTTTCCAATATAGACAGAGCTCAAAATTATTTCCTATTTAATTCTAATATATGTTTTTATTTATTTTAGATTACTATATTTAGGCTGATTGCGAAGACTTCTCTACTCTTATAGCCTTTTGCATTCTTGGGTGAAATTAAAAGGTATCTATTTAACTTTAAATAGTAACTAAGTTTTACAATACCAATCTGAAAGCCTTCTACCATATTTAAAGTGGTAGTGAAATAATATTGAAGCTAAGCAAAATTTGCTTGAGTTTGCCAGCACTTCAAAACATCACTGTGCTTATCAGACCATATTTTCTTAAAACTGATTTGATACAGTTGCAGTCAATATTGTTATAAATAAAATTTATTAAATCAAAAAGGAATATGTTAAGTATATTTCCTATCACTTTATTTATCTGAGATCTCCCACACTGGGCAATGCATTGGAAAATATTGATGTTATGCAATCATTGTAGATTAGTTTTATTTATTTTTGAAGCATGATAAATTGATGATACTTCTTGAGCACTTCTTTAGCTCATGATATCAATGACCATAAGCTCGTGCAAAGAGCATTTTTCTCTGATTCTGTGGTGATTATCATTATTTTCCCCTGTATTTCTTTCATCATGACTCTTCAGGCAGTGACTGCAAGTAATTAATGTGCAAATTCTCTCAATTTTTTTCACCAGTGTGTATACATACAGTTCTTAGTCTCATATCTGGACATCAATTTACTGGAAACATCTATTTGGGAACCCTTTTTAACGATGAAAATAATTCTCTTTTCATTTTTCTTAAAGGAATTTTTTATACATCCTCGTGTTGTGTTTATAATAACTAAACATATTTATACTGCCAGGAGTCTGTCCAGGCCGAATTTACTACCGCTTATCGGTACCTTCACAAATTCAACGGAAAAACGGTAGTTTCACAAAATACTTTTTCTTTTAAAAAAAATTTTTTATCCCTTAAGAAACGATAAATCCATATATATTACCATATTTTTGTGTTGATCTTTTAATATAATTTTTAATTTTTCACAAATTATGTCTAAATTTTCACAAAATAGGTACCTCTCAGAAAAACCTAGACAGACCCCTGACTGCTGTAATAAGCTATCTTTAAAAATTGTTGAAAAACAAGAATAGTTAGAGAAAAATAAACTTGTGAATGTGAGAGGAATAAACCACAAATATTAATGAAGGGAACTATTAATGAAACATCTGCTGACAGGTTTTATTTTGGTTTAAATTATAAATGTTTTCATTCAAAAAAAAATTACTCAATATATTAAATAGGATTGATTTTCCCTCCCAATTTAAAGGAAATGCGAAGGAAAAAAATTCTTTATTCAAGAAAGCGGAAGTTCCGCTTTTCCTTTGCTTTTTTTTTCCGTATTATTCCTGACATTTATTTTACCATACTAAATATTCTTTTGTTAATTAATTGTCATTTAACAAGAAACAAGATGCTGTTATATAAATGTTAAAGCAGGGGTCTGTTTAAAAGAAATTTGGATCGGTTAACGGACTCTTCACAAATTTGATTATTTTCGTTATTGTTTTGTTAATCGAATAAACCCTTCCCCGGGAGGGAAGGGGGCAAAAGACTGTTCCAGATGAACTAAGTTTCTCTAAGTTTAAATTCCTAATGTAGTATTCTAAGAAAATATTTCTACTTTTACGAACATCGTGTGTGCATTCTTATTAATATTAAATCATAATTTTTTTTTGTAAATGTATAATTGATCAATTTATATTTATTCATAAAATTAATTAATAGAATATTATGTAAGTAAAAATTAATTTCTGGAAATTTTTTAAATAAAATATAAATTTAAGAATTGTTTAAATTTACTTAATGCATAACACATTAAAAGTGATACATTGCTAATTATTTTGCTATTGTTATTTAAAATATGTCAATTGAAATTATTAAAAATATGAGTGATTTTATTTCCATTATTTGTCTTCTGAAATGAATATTCTGTGCTGAGCATTATAGGCTAAATACCAAGTATTTGTATGTTGCTTCTCTAATTTAGTAGCAGCAATTGTTGAGCAGAATCTTGTATCTATTTACAATTTAAGAACTTCTTGAAAAGATTTTTTGCAATAACAGGACCCTATTTTCACAAAACCAGGACCCTGGTTGAAAGAATATGACTTAATGCTTATTTTATATTCACAAATTATAAATAGTAGTATTTTCACAATTTTGCAAAAACAGGACCTTTCACAAAATGTTTGAACAGATCCCCTGGTTAAAGTTAACTGCCATTTATTTATTGTTCTTTTATTAAATAACGTCTGTTTTAGTCTTAGTTCACATTAAAGACTTATTATCCAGAAAAATATATTGGACTTGCCATAGTCCCAATGATTTTGGATATGGGACTTTTTTCAAGAGTAATTGTGACAATGTATTTGATTTTCACAAGCCAGCATTTTTTAAATGTTTTTTATATAATATAATTTAAAGTATTTTTATGTATTAACTGTTATTATATGAACTTTCTAAAAAATTTAATATTTTGTACATAAGATTATTTTGTTTAATTATATATTTATTATCTAAAATAGTGATTCTCAACCTTAAAAGTTGTTTAATTACCTATTTTACACTGTGTTAAATAGTTTGTGATAATAATTTTGAATGTGAAATAAAATAATATGTACTACAAAACCACATTTATTAAGCGATTAATTATTTCTTTTGACCAATTTTTTATTAGTTAGTAACAGTTATTTACTTTTTTGCTGGTTATTAATTGTTAGCTTGTTTTCTCTAATTATTAACTGTTATTTTTTTGTGATTTTTTTGTTAACTAGGTTTTTTGCTAATTACTAATTGTTAGCTTAATTTTTGTTAGTTATCCTTTGAAAATTTGTTTTTTAAGTTATCCTTTGTTAATTTGTTTTTTATATATTTGTTTTTTTTAGTTATCCTTTGTTAATTTGTTTATGAATTACATAGCTTACTTTAATGATTAGCTCTTACAACATTTTTTAAAATTGTGTGTCATAACAATTTAAACATTTCCGTCTTATTTTAAGATTGTCGGAGACAATACGATCGCCGACAAAGATGTTCACGCGGTTAAAGCTTGGAAAAATTATAAAATANCGATTTCGAAATTTGGCGGCACACTATGAAAAAAATTAGATTAAAAGTTGTTTAATTACCTATTTTACACTGTGTTAAATAGTTTGTGATAATAATTTTGAATGTGAAATAAAATAATATATACTACAAAAGCACATTTATTAAGGGATTAATTATTTCTTTTGACCAATTTTTTATTAGTAACAGTTATTTACTTTTTTGCTAGTTATTAATTGTTAGCTTGTTTTCTGTAATTATTAACTATTATTTTTTTGTTAACTAGGATTTTTTCTAATTATTAATTGTTAGCTTAATTTTTGTTAGTTATCCTTTGAAAATTTGTTTTTTAAGTTATCCTTTGTTAATTTGTTTTTATATATTTGATTTTTTTAGTTATCCTTTGCTAATTTGTTTATTAATTACATAGCTTACTTTAATGATTAGCTCTTACAACATTTTTTAAAATTGTGTGTCATATACAATTTAAACACTTCCATCTTATTTTAAGATTGTCAGAGATAATACGATCGCCGACAAAGATGTTCACGCGGTTAAAGCTTGGAAAAATTATAGAAAGTATATATATATGCACACGCTTTTCTATAATTTAAACTTTACTCATAATGAAAAAAAAAGCATTATAATTTTTATTGTATCATTTTTAATATTTGGTGGCACACAAAAGTGCCGCGGCACAGTGGTTGAGAATCACTGATCTAAACTATTGAATTTTATAAATAACTTTTCAAGGATTTTAAAAAATAGACTTTTAAGAGATTCAAATATTTTGAAAATTAATTGAGAGAGTAGTTTGTTTCTCCATCATATTAATAACAAATTATTATTTTTTTTCTAGCCATTGAGGTATAGGAAAGTTTCAATCCAAAAAGATTTATGATTGGCTCATAACAATCATGTGTGACGAAGAATCTGATGCAAGAAAAGCTTCATCTTCAGACTTAAGTTATCAAGCAGTTCCTGATGTTGATAGAGAAATGGCTGCTCAAGCATATCAAGAGTTTGAACTAGAAAAATTTGAACAATGTGCATCTATACTTAAAAAACTTATGTCTCGTAGACCCCAAGACTCTAAAGTTATGCATAATTTGGCTGTAACAGAATACTATTTATCTAACTGTAAGAAAACTGAAATCTTTAATAAAAAGATGGTGGAAGTATGTAGGCTTGCACACATCGATGTTCAAGATCTAGAATCTCTAGATGATGTAGACAGTTGTGTTGCATTATACAATCAAGCAATTGTAATGTTTCATCTGCATCAATATCATTCAGCCATCAGCATTCTAGATAAAGTATTTCAGTTTGTTGAGCCTTTGGAAGAAAATTTGGCCAGAAATGTATGTTTTTTGCTCTTAGAATTATATCTATGTGTGTATCAGCCAAGAAAAGCATTATGCCTGATTGGGTACTTAGAAACAATGCTTTTTTCTAATAATAAAAACTGTGGAAAATCTAATTCAAAAGAGAAAGATGGTCAAAAAGAAGAAAATGGTGATAGTGTAAATGAAATATATAGGCGCAGATTGCAGCTGTGTAAGGCTAGGTGCTATGCTATGATCAAGACATCCAAGGCGTGTAAAAGAGAAATAAAGAATTTGATGTCTTCTGGAACCCAAGCTCAAAACATTCCTGCTTTTTATTTGAAGAGCCAACTCGAATATCAACGTGGTAATTATCGTAAAGCTATAAAATTGCTTAATTCTGTCACTTTGCCTACAGATATTTCTAAGTATATAAAAGAAACTGGAGATTTTCTGCCTACCATTTACTACAATAATGTTGGTTGCATTCACTTTTACATGGGTAAACCAAACTTAGGTTGCCATTACATCACTAAAGCTTTAGAGTGTTTTGAGTCTGAAATTGCATCAATTGCCGATTCTAGAGAGGGCAAATCGAGTGCTCGTCCTCTACATTTAATGAGTACATCAACACAACATCAGTTGATGTATAATTTAGGTATGCAGCGTTTACAAGCTCAGAGATATTTGGAGGCATTCAAATGCTTCAAGCAAGTCATACCTTCGTATCATAGCAATCCACGGCTGTGGTTACGCATAGCAGAATGCTGCATCAATTTGCACAAACCAGATAATACTGCTCAGTTTGTTGAATTAAAAAATGTCTCTTTTATAAAATCAATGGTTGGCACGGGACCACACAGGAAACTTATCTTAAATTCTTCATCCGAAAAGTCTTCCGCTGACATCCCTAAAACTAGTTCTCCTCCCAATTCTGATACACCATCTTTGCATTTTGCTTTGCTCTGCTTGAAGAATGCTCTGCATCTTGTGGGAGAAAACCCAACCAATGAGTCTTTATCTGCCAGTGTGCCACCTTCTGAAGAAACCGATTCATCAGAAGAAAGTAATATTCTATCGACTCTGCCATCCAATTTTGTACAAGGGGCAGAAATCTTGAGCTTACGAAACTCCATCCTGATCGCTGCTTCTTATGTATCTCTGTGTCTGGGTGACGTCCTCTTAGCTCATGAATATGCTAAATCTTTGCTAGCGCAGCCAAGGATTTCTGGTGCTCACAAGTTTTTAGCTCACTTGTATGCTGGTGAATCGCTCTTGTTGATGGATCGTATAACAGATGCAGTTGAGCATCTCAATTATCAGTGTACTTCAGATATAGAATTAGCCTTTCCAGTTAACTCTTCTGAAGTTTCTTTGAAACACCAAACCCGTTTTGATTCTAAATTGAATGAAAAGAATGACGATGGAAGCCGTCCAGTGGGTAATGTCCCTAATTGGTTTCCTAATGCTATTTCATCAGCAAAATTTATTACACAGTATAATTTAGCCGTAGCTTATGCAGTCAGAGAAGAGTGGAGTAAATCCTTAGAATGTTTAATGCAGACGACGAGCACAAATGGTAAGATGCCACCACGTGCATTGTCACTTTTGATTTATGTTCAATTACATCAGGGAACGGCTGAGAACACTAAAGCTTATGTTAAACAATATTCTACTTATAAAAGTACTTAGTTGTTAAATTTTTTCAGTTACTCTATCACTATTTATTTGCAAGAATTAAAATGATGAGTTATTTACCGAGTTTCTATTTGTTATTCATTCTTTTTAAATTTATGATTTAAAATATTTTTTTTAGAATAAAATAATTCTTTTAAGTAAGTATTTTGAACTTATTTCATTTAAGCAACTTTTTTATATCTATTTATAAAGTGCGATTCTTGCTGCATCTGAATGCCTTAGACATGCACATGAATGCTTAGAAACTGCTCTCGCAAAAGAAAATGGTATACAGTGACTGGCCCCATAACAGATAATTCACAAATGATTTACTAAAATATATACAATTCATCAATTATTGAGAAAAATATTTATACTTATTCATCTAAACCATAAATTCCCAACCTTTTTTAGTCCACTGTTCTCTTTGCAAGAAAAAAAAAGAATGCAAATACTCCCTTATAAAAATTAAACTCAATTATAGATAAATTTTTAATAGAATTTTGTTCTATTTCAATATTCCTTTTATGATAGTTTAAAAGTTAAAAGGAAATCCAAAATTAATTACATTTTGATAATATTCTTTTCAATTACTAAACAGCGGGTAAAAAATATATATAAATTATACAAATAAATTAATATATTAATGACGTTTCACAAAACGAGTTATAAGTAAGTAAAATTTTACCTACTATAAACTTTTCAAATAAATTTTTGACTCTTAAAAATATGATTGTTTAATTATGTTAACAAATATATTGACTTTTAATGTGAAATATAAAATGTTCTTGATTTCTTTTTTGTTACAATCTGAATACTTGGAAAAAATATCACCATCACTGTCTCTTTTCACTTCAAGTGTGCAGTTATAAATATTCTAAAAAATATGTATAAATACTTCATTTATTTGGCAATAAGAATATTAAAAATCCTTTTACACTCTTTGAAACAAAAACTGTTACTTAGTTCAAATTTATTGCCTTCTTAATAGGGTTTTAAAATGAACCATGATTCCGTCCATGTGGAACCATAATATCGTGTAATCAAGATTAAGAAATAAAATAAAATGGTTCAACTTTATACAATATTAAGAATGCAGAAAACATGAGCTACATTATGGTGTAATACTCTCCAAAATTTCGTTACTCAAAACAAAACAAAAAAATCCTGAGAAACTTTTCATATCGGATTTTATTGTGCTATTTTAAGTACAACTTGCACAGTTTGTAGGGGATAGTTATCTGTTGGTACGCTTAATTATCAGGGACGTGGCTAAGGAGGTCGGAGCCACCCAAAAAACTTCAAGATAGGCTAAACCGGACAGTTTTTATTAAAAAAAGAGTGACTTCTATTTATAAAAACCGCTCTTTTATTTATAAAAGCGGTCTTTATATATTTATAAAAGATCAGCTTTTATTTATAAAAGCCGGCCTTTTTTGGCTTTTTAAAAAATGCTCACTTTTGATTCTTTTGAATTGGCTAATGATAAGACAGATCATGGGCAATTTATCTTCCATTGCCTGAAATTGTGATGGCATGTCTTCGGATCATCCTCAGGGATGTTTCCCAGACCGTCGCCAATAGCCCATTGTGCAGCTCTAGTGCGACGTAAATAAACAACAACTTCCATTGCCTGCTCCTATTAATATTATTCAACATTTATTACTTAATGTAAAATGTTGCCTGGAAAAGACAACTCTTTATTTTACAGCACCAGCTCATTATCATTTAACGATATGAGAAAGAAAAAATTTTTATCCGAGTAACATCTTGTTTTCATCGCCTAAGATTTATCTATAACATATATTGTCTACAATTGTTAATGTGAAGCATCATCTACTTTTTCCATCCTGAATTGTCAATTTTGATTTCTGCCGTAATCAACAAAATTTCTTCTACTTGAATTAGTCAAACACACCAATTATAAAATTATCTTCATATAATGCTTTGAAAAATTCGATATCCTTTTTGCAGTGATCGACCACCATTATGATTCTCCAGAATTTGATAATGTTTTAATAAAATAATTAAATATTTTCACGTCCATTTACGTTCTCTAACGTAAGTTTAGAAGTTACTGCACATGCCTGTGACCAAATTTTTCTAAACTGCGAAATATTTCTAGGAGTAGCGGACTTCAAATTTTTACATAGCGACAAAGCTTTTGTAAACGGCGAACTCAGTTCAAATTAGCTTCAATTTTCATGTTTTGAACAAAAATAAACTTTTTTAGAAATATGTTCCTGTTATATTATGAATTCTTGAATCAATCATTGGGACAAACTAGCCTTCGTGGAGACAATTTTGATTAAACTAATGCGTTACATGGAGAAAAAAATCAATATTAGATCGACGGCAAAGGGACTCTAACCCATGATCGGCCATTGAGGATATTGAAATCGAATATTGATTGTCGTAAACGCCCTGTCTAGTGGTCATAAAAATAAAATACTTAGCAGAATATTTTATAATTTTTGGTACCTCATTTGCTTCATAGTCTTTAACTTCATCGTAACTAACTTCCTTTTCCAAACGATTGCAAAAAAATGACTGCTTTGAATAACTTACGATTTAATGATCGGAACTTCACGTTCTAAGACTCAATGTTAATGGTCCGAGGAGGTAACCTCATATATGCTAATTAATTAGTACAGACGATATTTGCGAAATCGATTTAAGCTACGAAATCAAACACAAAAACTTATTGCCTCTGAATAAACATACCTTTCATTCGAAGGAGTCAAGTTTTTAACCTCCAAAATAGGAGGTAGCTGCAATCTGGAAAATATGGTCCGAATAGTTTGGTCAGGTGATCTGTTCAAAGCTTGGATCCCTTGTTATTAATTTTACTTTTTGGATCCCCATATCTGAAGAACTTCTTATGATTTTTTTTTTCAAAAAGGAACTCTAATTTTGACAACAAAAAAAAAGACTAATAACAAAGCGCATCATAACCAGATAGATTGCAAAAGCAGATGACAGTTTTAGAACTGTTCCGAGGTTTTCATAAAAAATTGTGGATTACCCGTCACAGAATTCGCGATCGNTTTAGAACTGTTCCGGGGTTTTCGTAAAAAAATGTGGATTACCCGTCACAGAATGGGAAAATAAAGGAATTGTAATATTCATCGTCTGAACTGATGGAATTTTTATATTCTTGTTTTTAGTTAAAAATTACGAAAGCGTCGTCTTTGCTATTTAAATAAATGTCATTTTCTAAATTACACGGGTCTTCAATTAAACGCTGGATATAATACCAATTTTCTTTTTTTCAAATAATGATCTAATTCTTTTTATCTGATGTTTTATTTATAATTTTGAAAATCTACTATCCTCCTTTAAACATAAAGTTGAGAAGGGCTTCATCAGAGGCATTGCATACTAAGCTATTAGGAATTTATTAACGTTTTCATATTAAACAAAAAGTCGTTTATCAGACTTTATTTAAATATTTTTTCAGTTAATATAACAACATTTTATATTAATGTACAAAATAATATTAAAAAAAATTCGACTTGGGCTTTAAAAGGTAAGAATTATTTGTATGGTAATAAATTTAGTTTAAAATGGCATCGATGAAATGTAAAAAGCTGTGAGAGCTGTAAGTTAGTGTGTTGTTATTTATACCAAAAGACTTGAAAAATTTTTTCACCAGAACATATTTCAGCTTGAATTTGTCGAAAAAGTAAAAATGTAAGTCGAAAATCTTTTTGTTCTTTATATTTTAAGTTATTGTAAACTTCTTAATTACTGTTATGTTATTCTTTTTTCTCATTCTTTTTTAATTTTGTCATTTGAGGAGTATTTTTTAAGGTCAAAATTACAACCAAAGCAGAAGTACCACCATACCTTGCGTATGCGACCAAAAGTGACCAAGTCAAATGTTATCAAATAAAAATCAGGGCTTAATCCCAGTAGACGTTATGCAATGCTTTTGGCGAAATTTAGAAGGATAAAGTTTGCAATCTGTTGTTAATTAATCTACATCTTCTACATCTACAGAATTAGACCCAGAAATCATGTAACCTTTCGGCAACCTTTTGTTTCTTTTTATTGTTATAAAAATGTTTGTACTAAAAGCCTTTTTCAATAAAGCAAAAATTTTGCAGTTTCAAACCTTTCATCCTAAACGGATTAAAAATTATTTTTTTAAAGCTTTTTTTAAAAAGTATTGTCACTTACGTTCATAATGACGTTTTAGCTGATGACACACTAGCGATACGATCAAATTGCATTGTCCATTAAAATTTCATGACAAGGTGGATTTTAGCTGAGAATACAAGACTTTGCGAAAAGAAACCTTATAATTACCTAGATTTAAGATTATTATCACCTTGAGACTAGTTTTATTAAAGGATTTTTTTCACTCTTGAAAACCCCAAGTCAATCTTGATTTAAGGTTTTTATATAGAAGGTTGTTTTCCAAGGTTTTGGATTAGGGTAATGTGCGTAGAATAGAGCAGATCGTCACAGATCTCGTTTTAAGGTTAGAAGGTTAACACGTAAGTCGCATAACAAACCTTTTTAGGTTTACATTAAAAGGTTTTTGCTGAGGGAAAGTAAACCATATTTTGCTATCTGGTAGAGGTTTGATATAGCTTAATTATTTAATTAATGGAGGGCTGACTGCCTGCGTATCCCTCCGCTTGTGTTACATTTACAAGGTGATGTGTGAACAGGTTTAATATTCTAGGAAGTTTATTATTGTGATTTGTGTTTAAATTTGTACGTAATTTTAACATTCATAAATCTGTAATTTATAAATTCTAACTGGTCATGAGCCTAAAACAATTCACATCACAACAGAAACAAAGTATAAGGTTTGGCATGTTTTGAGTTTTATCCTTTATTTGGCTATTGTGACATTGTGTCAATTAATCTCAATTTTCTGTTGGGATCGTGACCTAAAAATTAGGCCGAACTCTGACCCCTCTCCTGTGACGCCTCACTGTCTGTCGACCTTCACGCCTGTGACCTTCGGCAACCTTTGATGTGAACACATGGAGAATGGTCAGTCATAGTCACAGTTTGTGTATAATTGTAATTTGATTTTTCGCAATTAGTCTATTCACTTCAAGTCCCATTTTAGGGAGTTCAACTTCCACTTCTTGCTGTTTCTATAAATATCGCCCATTTTTTTGAGCGGGGGCATTCGAATCAACTTCCGTATCAATACTCTACGATCCCTTAACAGGGATTTTTCATTTTTACCCCCTCCTCTCTTTGAGAGACTGAGTTCTTTCTTTCACCCACCCGTGGGTGCCGTTTGGGGTCCGGTGATCGTATTTTCCTTCGCCATGGCCTAGTTGGCTTTTCTTCCTTTGGTTTTTGAAGTAAATCAGAACTGTCACTCTAAAAAAAAAGGGGGATGTACAGTCCGCAAAAAAAAAAGATATCACCCTGAATAACTTTCNTGATTTCGTAACTTAATTAATAGTTAGCACTAATTAATTAGCATATTTGAGGTCACCCCCAGGAACCATTAAGATCAACACTTAGTTCGTGAAAATCCGATCATTAGAACGAAAATTATTCAGGGTGATATCTTTTTTTTTTTGCCGACTGTACAAGCGTAGTGAATCCGTATCCCGTGTGCCCTGGTGTTTTTGACAAAAAGCATTCCAGTTCATCATAGCCTGAGATCGTGTTTGTGAGATCTCGAGTAATTGATGATGTGTTTCTACAAAGTGTTGTGAAATTTCTTAAACCGTGCTGTGTCCATAAGATCTCGAGTAATTGATGATGTGTTTCTACAAAGTGTGGTGAAATTTCTTAAACCGTGCTGTGTCAATACCTCCAAATAGATGCTGTGATTCCCCTATTGTGTGTTCTCTTGAACATTCTGCAGCAAGATAGAAAATAAAAAGGATATGTTTTTTTGTTGTAACCAGAACTCATTTCTTCTGTTCCTTTTTTAAGATCATTAGTTATAGACAGCTCAAAGTAAATCTGCAACAGGTATGTGGAACTCAATTACAATGACGTATTGATCTTTTTGTTTGTTCTTTTATGTTTTTTTATTTCTAAAGGTTATTGTTGCAATTTTTAAGTACTTTTCCACTATTGGAGTAGTCACGCGCCGTAATTAACTTATTTTTTAATTTTTACAACCTCGTAACAAAAAAAAATTAATTAACTAAATCTTTTTTTAAAATTTTCCCAACCATAAATTGTAACTTTTTGTACCTCACCAATTGTATTTTATGTTAGTTATTGAGGCACATCGTATTCATTTTTTTTAATTTTAATTTTTTTCTGTTAATTTTTTTGTACACGGCCCCACCAACCCAACAGCTATATTTGCGTAAAATATCGCCATTTGTTAGTTTTTGGATATCATCATAGCATGCGTGCGGAGTTTTCCAAGTTCATTTGTTTGTTTCGTTGAAATTTAAATTGAAAGAACGTGTTGCATTGTAAACGCTACAAGTACAATAATATTGGATGACGTGCTTTCTCAATCTTAGGCGTAAACATCAATCGGAAGTAGTAACCTGAAAGTCATTCGACAAATTTTAACCCCTAACGGCATCTGTTCTTAGCTTTACACAGTCAACCATACATATGTATGTATACAATAATTTGTAAGTTTTAAATGAAAAATTTTAAATTGCTGGATTCATGGAACATCGGTTTCGGAATCTATATTTCTACTTTTCTTCTAATTTATAAAAAGTAAAATTTAACTTAATTTTCTTGAGTTTGGCGACAAGCAACTGCACGTCATTTTGGTGTTGGCGACATTTTTCAGAATCGCGCCACGTATATAACGTATACGAGGATTTTACCAAAAATAGAACATGTTATTTTTTGCTGTAATAAGTCTAGAAAATTTGATCAATTTCGACCCGTGCTAAAAGACTTTAGGATTAGCTATGTAAATTGATTTTGACTTTTCCCAAAAAGATAGCATCCGTTTGAAGGAATTAGGCACTTTATTTCACTTTTTACGATTATCGACTTGACCACTTCTGGCAATATATCCACACTATATTGATTTTCGTGCAAGAAAAGGAAAAAAAAAACAGTCCGTTGTAGAATTAAGCTAAAGAAGAAGAAAAAAGTGATATTATTTTAAGGGATTCCAGAGATATTGAAATCAAACCCTTTTGAACGAAAAATTTATATCCCTAATGTTTTGCTTCATTTCTACTAGCTCCTTTTTGAAAAAAAATATGAGAAAGATTTTAATCTTAATAATTAGTATCACAGCAAATGGATAAAATTAAACTATAATCCTTCTTGACTAGAATTCGGATCAAAAATTTCCTGTCTTGCTGAATGCCGGTATAATGTCTGAGATTGTAAATGCATTTCAATATGGTTCTTTTTATTTAATATACGGAACTAAGACAATGCTTTTGGATAATTTTAGTAACATTTTTTTAAATGGATCTTTGGAATTTTGAAAAGTTTTTCACTTCTTTTGTCATTTAAAAAAGTCGCTCATTTAAACTTGTTTTGAACTTTTTGCTATAATTTATAATTTCTTTTCTATAGACAGTATTGATTTTAAGAAAAAGATGAACAGCTAAATGATACCGTATTTCTTATTATTCTCACTTTGTAACCAAAGGAATTTTGATTTTTTATCGTGGTTACAGGAAGGCAAGCTATATGATTCTGTTTGGTAACCAAAAGATTTTACTTTGAATATATGAAGGTAATACACTATTTCGGTACCAATTCGGAAACCAAAAGATTTTAGACTTTATATGAAGGGAGTATTAGTAGTATTATGGTCTGATGCTATGTTGTAACCAAAAGTTTTAAGCTGCGATTAGATTATACTACCAGTATCTTTATGTTCTGATACTATTTGGTTACCAAAATATTTTAAATCCAAATCATTTGAAGACCGTACCTGTATCTTCATGGTATGGTATGGTGCTATTATGTAACTAAAAACTTTTATATTTTGTTTTGGGCGAATGCAAACAGAATTCTAAGACTATAGATAGCAATTAGCAGTAAACCAAGAAAAAAGTTTTTGTTCCTTAGAGAATGGAACATACATCACAGTTTATATGAGGTCGCCATCTTCCACAGGTAATGGGTTTGGTCAAGTGTTTAAAAACTTCTAAGTTAAGATACTTACCAATGAATTATCAGACAGTATTCGTAGATCCACATTAACACGTATTTTGTACTCCCGGAAAATTATCATCCCACCATGAAGCTGTTTTTCGTTTTGCTGTCCGCCAAGATGGGCCTAATAAGATTCTAAACGCTCGATTAGACAAGTTCAGGATTAAATAAATTTTTGCAAATCTGAAATAATGTTTTCTCAGAGCAACATTGTTTTTCACACTTGTAAACACAGTAATTCTTAAATCATTCATTCAATATACTACAAGTTTGACTGCATATTATATGAATATAGTTTCCTTTTTGCGCGATTTTTAAATTATTATTGTTTTTAAATAATCTTTAAAGTTCTTTAAGACACGCTTTATACATTTTATCATTACTAAAACTATATGCGCATTTTAAGAAATGCAATATGCGTCTAATATGCACGCTATTGATACTTATACTGTTGAACACGATAATCCTTTAAACTTTCATTGATAATTTCTCCCCTTAATATAAATAATCTTATTGCAGAATACTTGATGGAGTTTGATTTGAAATGGGCTCATGGAAAGTACCAGGGATCTTCAACATTTCTCTCGTCTAAGGACATAGTCATTCCCTGCGATACTTTTCTAAAAATATGTGACAGTACAGGTTCGAATTTTCGAGATCAAGAGCTACCATGCCCGATTCCCGTGGGTGGTCTTGCTGCTCTACCAGAGCTTGGGGTTTTGGCGGTTTGTGATAAAGAAACAAAACCAAATATACACGTCTTCAGTTTTCCTAAATATGAAAAAATAAGTATACTGAAACAAGTAAGCGATCTGGAGTATAAGTTGCTGAAATTTACAGGAATAGACTACTTAATATCATTCGGATTTGGAGTCCTTCACAGCAAAGCTGATATATGGAAATGGTCTTCTGGAGAACTGTTAAAGTCAATATCTATTCTGCCCCCCATCCCGAAATCCGTTCCTTTATTTCTAACGGTCAATCCGTTGTCATGGTATTTATTAACCCTCCAAATAGGGGAAAAGTTGTATCATTTCGAAATAAACTTTACGAACAGCTCTCTCAATGTTAGAGTCGATGAGATATGTTTCGATCGAAACGATATCGGAGGTTTTATTTTGAAAAGAGTGAGTGCGAGTAGTTCGCAAAGTGAAGTCAATAATGATGGTGAGTTTCAGTTAGCTTGCCATTCTTGGATTTCGGATGATTGCATTTGCTTAGGTTCACCTCATGGTGTCTTTAAATCGTCTACACGTCCAGGAGAAAATAATTATTTAGTAAAAGCATATCAGAATGACCAACCCGTAACAAGTATGTGCTTAACCCCATCAGGTCTATTTTTGGGATTTGTAAAAAATATTAAATTAATTGATATTTCCAGTGAAGATTGGATTGTTTTAAACGACATCGAAATAGACTATACTGTGACACAAATAATTTCCTCTCCAGATTTTTCAGTGGTAATTGCTGAAACTAAGCAAGGACTGTTTTCTTGGGACCAAACGTGTAAGAAAATGTTTAATTTGTTTAAAGTATTCGAATTAAGTAATATAATCGACGTGTGTGTGATCGGTCCTACATCTGAACATTTCGCGGTTGCTATCGGAACAGGTTTACTTCATTTCTTTCAATTTGAAGATGGAAGCATGATAAGCAGTATTTCTATCGAAGAAGAAATAACTTCTTTTGCCGTAAGCCCTTTATGTTCATTGGTTGCAGCTGGTACTAACTCCGGTTACATATACTTAGTTAGCATAGTAGATATACGCATCCCAGTCATCATTCATTACGTTTTAGGTCACGAAACAACGATTGACGGAATAAAATTTGATGACTTTGGACGTTATCTATTTACTGTCAACCAAGATAAAGGGATTAACATTTGGAACGCCTCTCCAGAATCTAATTTCGGTTATCTTGGACACATTAAAATTGCTCAGCGAGTGAAGGGGGTAGTGACTTTGACTGACTTTGAAAGTGATCATACAGATATTTTGATTTTAGCAGAAGATGGTTCAAACTCAGAAGAGCGATCTGGTAATGTGCTAATTCGGCTATCTTTACCGTTCGATTTTAAAGCTAGCGTTGAAAATTATTACATCGACAGCTTTGGCACGCTAAACATCGAAAGCCTATTTTACCAGAAATGGCATTTTGACTACCCATGCTCTAATCTTGATGTCCAAAAAAATATGGGTGCTATTCTCTATTCTCCAATCACCAAACAAATTCAGAAGTTTTCTTTGTGGACCGATTCAGTTTCAAGGCAAACCGATCTCATTGAGATGAATGACATTTCATATTTGACCATTTCATTCAATCAGCGATATTTAGCCGCAATAACCAAAAGTGGCACTCTGCAACTTTTTAGCAATAAATCTATGACATTGATCGCATCCGTTTCAGCAAATGTAACTGCGCCATCTAATGATTATGTTTTAGAATTTTCCCGCTATGGTAATAGTTTGCTAGTCGCGAGTGATGCTGGTTACTTGTCGAGGGTTGAATGGGATAGAAAACATAGTAGTTTAGAAATTATTCCGAAAAGTTTAGTTCACTGTCAAATGTATTCCGAAAATGAAAATTCCGAGTTGCTAAAAGTGAATGAAGAGAAAGAAGGTGGCAATGCCATCAAGAGAGAAAATGCAATTAGAAAGGAAAATAAATATTTAACCTTTGATATGTGGGTTGATATTATGTATTTCAGGCTTAAAAATCTTTTGAAAGCAGATATCATAGAAGACAGCAAAAAATTACTTGACGCTCATTTCGTTTTTGACGACAGGTTTTTAAATAACTTATCAGATCGCAATTTCATAAGATTTTTGAAATGTTTAGAAAGAGAAGGAGAATATATGGAAATCTCTGACATACAGCCTCATTCAATGCCTATTAAGGTGATATCATCAACAAATTTAGGATACATAGTTTATAATTACACAACAATTCAGTTTCTACCAGGTAGATTCCTTGAAGAAAACGTTCGCTCTCTCAAATTAAATAAGGCAAATATAGCCAATGTAGCTATGCAAAAACCGGCCTCTTTCAAAATAAGCATGGACCTCAGCAAAGCAAAAGATATTATATTGCTTTTAGAAAATATAAGAAAACAAGTGTGTTATTACAAACTGGATTTTAATAAAACTTTCAATGATCTTTATGAGGAAGCAAACGTGTTTTCTGATAAACTGTCTGAATTGTCTTTCAAAATTAAGACAGAAATTCAAAGTTTACCCTCGAAAGCTGAAAAGGATTTGTGGAATGCCATTGCTATTGCTCGAGAAAAAGATGAATTCACTCCAGAAAATTCTAATGATTTATTAAACTCGGAAGTAGTTAGTGACGTAGAAAACGCTTCAAAAACGAAACAATCAATAGAATCTTTAGCTGATGCAGCTCGTTGCTTGCGAGTAGTATTCGATTCGAAAGTGGAACGTTTGTTTTTGAGAAAACTGTTTTGCGACTATATCATACATGCGAATGAGCTAAAAATATTTTGCTCCCTACTCTTGGTGGAAGCTCAATGTGTTATGAATTCATGGACTAAACGCATGGTACAACAACTTGATCTATCAAAAATTCTTAATAAAGATATATGTGCTGTAATTAAAAAAACTACTAAAATAGGAAAAAGCTACCACCAATTGTATAAGAAAATCCAAGAAATTGAACGATCTGCTGCATTACGTTTTGAAACGAAGTGTTCTAAACTTGATTCTAAAGCCGAAATTTCTAAATTTTATAAATACCAACCACGTAAATTGTATGACGCAGCATATTGGTTACCTTCCATTACTTCTGAATACCTTTCTTCAGACGTATTTCAAGTTATGATTCCTCCTCCTGAGAATATTGATATGGCGAAAAAATGGCAAAAAATGTGTTCCCGGAAGTCTCGCCTACTAAAACTCAACGCCATTTTAAGATGCATTCAGCAACAATGCATTAATATTACACGCATCAAAATACACTGTGAAGAAATACAAGAGAAAGAAGATTGTAATCTATTTGAAGAAACAGAGAAAATTTCAAATGTTGATGAAATTTTGTCAAAATTGACAGAAACCGTCCGTCTACTACTATCCAATAATCTTGACGCAGACATGCAAGAATATTTTCGAATTGCGGGGATGAAATTATCAGATATTCCGCTTTCAAACCATTTCATTTGGGAAGGTATAAAAAATAGTACAGAAAGGAACAAAAATTTACAGATAGAACTAGAGAATACAGGAGCTTTAATTGACGACTTTCAAAAATTAGCGTCAGACCAGGACGCAGAACGAACGAAGATAAAGCAGAATTATCAATTAATTCTTAAAGAACTGCAAAGTGAGCTCGATGACCAGAAAAAATTATTAACTAACATCAGCGATATTATCGACCATCTTAATCAAACACAAAAATGGAATGTTTTTAAAAAGTTTGCCTAGAGGGTTTGATTTGATATCGTTATGCGAATTCCTGAAATTTTCATTTTTATCATCTTTTTTAATCATTCCATTAGTAAAAATTTCACAGATGGTATGTGTTCAAAACATTTTCTCGTACTACTTGATGTGACTGATCGAATTGTACTGCTGAAATGTTTTCAATGTTTACTTCGCACTTAATATGTCTTCTCAATGTTTATTAGGATTCTCCATTATTTATTCATTGATAAAACATTTCATTTCAACTCATTTCAAACTCATTTAATAAAACATTTCGCCCCAGAACTTTCTGTGTATCGATTTACTTTTTCTACTTAAAATTAGTTAGTACTATCTATATTTAATGGGGTCTGTTTTTTTAAAAAAAATATATACAAATTATATATTATTTGCATTTTTACAACTTTAAATTTTAAAAAAAGGGAATAGATATATTTTTACTACAAAAGAAACAACGTGATGTGCAAAATGGAGGAAGTAGGTTTGTATGAAGACTTTTTAGTGATTCTAAAAATGCCTGGACCAAAACGTCGGTACCGAAATGTTATCCGAGTCAAAACTAGTGTAAGCAATACGATCAGCATCCATGGAAACTGCTTCCCGTGTTCACTTTATAATGCTCTAAAATTAGATCAAAGTTGCTACTTTTACATCATTTTGTTTTGATAAAATTTACCCCACGTAAATAATCCAATACATAAGATCCAGAGAACTTATGACCATTCAACTTTTCGCAGAAAATTAGACAGAATGTGTACAGCAATGTTGGACAGTATTCGTTGTATGTAAAGGAGCACAATCTTGCAGATAGCAATGATATTTACTTCCACTCATTGTTTTGCGATTCTGTACAAATAAGGTTTTTCTAAAAAAAATTATTTATCCTATTTATTTATTTATATTTTATATAGACTGCAGCACAAATTTTATCCCCCTCATGAATAAGAATCAGTATATATTTGCTTTTTGTGAGAAAGTTCCGTTCTTCTCTTTCCCAAACTATTTGGGGGACCGGAAAGTAATGTCGTTACGGCTCTCTAAATTTTCGTTAGTCTTAAAAACCAATGCATTTTTTTTTTCGATCCATTTCGATTTATTTTCGATCGGGCAGTGAAAGGTTGTTCCTAACGAAGGTGAATGCACTGATTAAAAATAAAATCTTGATAACAAATATCAAATGCATCGAAACGACATTACTTTCCGGTCTCCCTAATATAATTTAAGATGTATTTTGAAATATTTACCCGGACTTTTTTTTCTGATTACATGATGTATCTCGAATCGATTTTGATCCCAATCGGTTATTTTTAGGTGTTCCAGAACAAAAAGTTTCTTATCAGAGAACAAAAACTCGTCTCCATTTCTATGAGTGTTATTGTTGTAGTTCATTTGCGTCGCACTGGAGCTGCACAATGGGCTATTGGCGACGGTCTGGGAAGTATCCCTGAGGATAATCCGAAGACATGCTATCACAATTTTGATCCTCTGCGGAGAGGATGGCATCCTCGCTTCGGTAGCCCTACGTCCTGCACGCGAAGTCAAGCTCTTTACGGTAGAACAGTTTAACGAGGACTAATACCGCGTACCCTCGGTCCCTACGCAGACTGATCCAAGTGGTCACCCACCCGCACACTGACAGCAGCTAGTGATGCTTGACTTCGGTGATCTGCTGGGAACCGTTTCTTAACGATCAGTCCACTGCGGGACTTTCTATGAGTGATTTTGTATCTATATACATAAGTTTCTATTACTTCATGTAATTCTATTTTATAAATTATTTGAACTTGAATAAACAAACAACTTTCATCATACATTGGGAGATGGAAAGCAAAAGTCTAACCATGAGATAGAACGCTTTATCGCCATCAGCATTGTTTTACCGAACAGTTGTTTCCCGTCTCTAGGCTACTCAAATTTTCCGAAAATCTCTGAGAACATCTAAAAAGAATCGTTTATGAGACACATATCGAATTACCAGCGGACACTCACACGAATTCACTAGGACACTTACACGAATTCACTAGGACACTCACACGAATTCATTCAGATGCTAGACGTTAGAGCTGCTAGAAATGCCAAGAATCTTACAACGTCTACATAATTCACTCCATCGCCAATGGGTAGCCCTTTAATTACACAGTGCCAAAATCTAGAACTTAGAAAATTTGAAATGAGCAGAATGAAAAAATATGCTTTAAACTTCATCAACAAACACTACTTTAAATACTAGAGAACGCGAGCTATTTTAATCTATTTTAAATGAACTGTAATTTATTTGGGTACAGAAAGACTGAATAGATATTTCTCTTGTCAAGTTTTTAATGTATGCAAATTAATTAGGCTGCTGTGCTTAGTTAACGTTACGTAACTTAGGGAAAAATCTATTTAAAAACCTATTTATTATCTAATAATCTGATGCGGAAACAATGAGCAATATTATTTTTTTTAGTTGTTGTTTAGAAGGTCTAAGGATGTATGACGGATATGCTGTTCCAATAACAAAACTTCAATTTTAGTTTTTATTACGGAAAAAAGTAGTGTGGCGCCTTTTTTGAAGGCGCGTCGGAAGTATTTCTGTCTCATTTTGATGTCGAGTCATTTGTCACCTCGATCTCCACCCACGACAAGTTGCGTCAGACTTGGAAACTAAAACTCTCGCTGCTCTTTTTTGTAAAATAGGGATTAGAAGAGATTGACACCATCCCACGGAAATCATAGGCGACAATTCATCGTCCGTTTTGGCGATATAAACTCTTAATGAATATTTTTATCTATGCATGAGCGAGATAAATTGGTTTTTCACTAATGTACTTTATGTAATACATAAAGTATTTTACGTATAATATTCACATGCACAGCTATCAGGATGGCTGTAGTATTAATAAACGCCATATGTTTTTTATTAAAGTATTACAGGCTTTGATATTTTTTTTAATAATATATGATGATAAATCAATATTTAATACAACGTAATTTAATGGAAACATAATATTCCACTTAAATTAAATTTAAATTTACATTACCGATATTACGAAATTATACTTCGCACAGCAATGTGGGGTTTATTATTAACCCCACTTCAGTTTTCTATCGAATTTTGTAATCAATTTTCTATTCTCAAAATAATAATAATTCTTTTTTTCAATTCAATTCAATGTTATAATGTCAAAAAAATTTTTTTTCTTTTTAGAGTTGACCATCTTAATGTGTGTTAGAAAATATGATCACACAGTAAATAATAAAGTAAAACTAAAAGATAACAAAATGAAAAAATTTTTTTCACACGAATTGCGAAATGAACCCGACTGCGAAGCGGAATTGCGATGTTTTGCACAGCGAGTAAAAATAAATTTCTTAATTTTAAATATTTATTGAAATAATAAAATAAAATAAAAAATACGGTAAGAAAAATTCTTGCAACAGCCCGTTGTGGGCCAGGGGCGTCGTGGATGTTAAAACTCAACAATTTTGTGACCAACAGCATGATTGTGGCAATGTGGTCAATATTGTGGAAAAGACCACCTTTGCTTCTGATACAAACTGGTACCCATCGATCTGCAGCTGGGTGGGTGCCAAGCATCCACTAAGGATCGAACTCCAGTTCTTAACAATGACAGTTCAGTACCTTAAGCATTGAATCATCGCGACTCAAAAAATACGGTTAGGTTACTATCATATATCAGGAACGACAACTATTGAATAAAAAAAATTCCAGGAACTATGAATACAAAATTGAATTGGAGTTCATAATATACCTATGCGAAAATTAATCAAATTATTTAAGTTTAAATCATGGATGTTGATTTATTTAACTCCTTTTTTTGCTTGAGATTTATTTGAACTCCTTGAACTTCTTACTTGAGTTTTAACTTCTGTTTCAAGTTCAAACATGTTGGGTGTTTCCAAGCAGCTTGGTATCTGGTCAAGCACACTAGGGTTCTTTAAACTAATCGTATGTATATATCGAATTTTAAAGAATATTTTCTAACAAATGCATTACATAATTTACTATAATTGTCTTTAGTTAAACGAACTTTTGGGTCAGTTTCTTTCATATAAAACACCCCTTTATAAAATAGTTATTCAGTTTGAAAATTTCTTTAAAAAATTACCTTTTATGTTATTATTAACTACATGCTTTTGTTATGCTATTGTTATTTTATTCTGTAATTCGTTTATTTGCACGAAAATAGATTTGAAGTTATTTTTTTTAAACGAAAGGGTGAGGTGCAAAAAAGGATTACGCATTTAATGTGCAAGTACAATAATCATGAAAACAGAACAAGAGGTAGGTAGGTATACTTTATTTGCGTCGTACTAGAGCTACACAATGGGCTACAGGCGATGGTCTGGGAAACAACCCGGAGGATGATCCGAAGACATGCCATCACAATTTTGATCTTCTGAAGAAGAGATGGCTCATCCGCTTTGGTAGCCCAGCGACCTAAGCGTGATGTCGAGCACTTTACGGTAGAGCAGTTTAACGAGGACCGATACCGCACACTCTCGTTCCCTACGCAGGATGATCTAAATGGTCACCCACACGCTTACGAACCGCAGCCAGTGATGCTTTACTTCGTTCGACTGGGAACCGTGTCCCCAGTGGAACGCTGAAGTCCAGACAGTCCACTAGTGGACTGAAACAGAACAATAAAAAAGCACACGTGATGGGCTTTTTAAATGCGCCTAGGAATATTTGTTTAAAAAAAAAGCCTATTTAAATGATTGAATGTTCATGGTTTAATTTTAAGATTAATTAATCCCCATTAAAAATCTTATCAAAAATTCGAAAATCAAGCATATATGTGTCAACCTTCAAGTTAAATATAGTTACTGAAGTCGATTTGCACACATCTAAACAACGATCATTGATTCTTTCTTAAATTATGTTAAAATGATGATTCAAATACATAAGTTTCTTTTCACAATTATAGTTTTGATGATTATTGTACCGAAACAAAGCTATAAAATATATCCCTTTTTTTCCTTCAAAAAAGAGAGAGATATAAAGACATCATGCAACGTATTATAAATATGAACTTGCACGGTGCAGATCTTACTTCAATCTCTTAAATATTTCGATTTTCCGAATAATACGATTCGCGACTTTTGGCGCCTTTTCCTCCAACACTGTGACAACCTTATTGTTTTTCTTCTGCATCTTCCAAAAGCTTGTGATCTTTTAAAGCAAAACCAGGAGTGGAAAATACTCTTCCACGGTGACACATAATCCAAACTAAACCGTCTTTGAGGCACGCATTTCGAAAAAGATTGATCTCTCTTCCCATGTCAAAATGCACGTGTCATCTGTTTCTAATAGTCCGCTTCAATAAAACGCGTCATTAGAGATGATTTAATTCGGAATTTTCGCTTCCTTCAGAATTTGAACTTGAATAACACGGAAGCAAAATTGAATATCCTGCTAAGTGGCTCTTAAATTGCATAACTAATTTTCTTCCACAATGACGCTGCTTACGTAATTTCATGAAGGTCTATTAAATGGTTATATCAACAGTTTTTATTAGTTAGTTGACAACTTGGCAGTGAAAGTGTTGTCAACTAACATAGTTCATGACGCATATAACAGATGTGAATTTAATGATATTTAACTATTACTAAAACATATATAAACTACGACTAATGACTTACTTGAAATTTATTTAAAAACTTATTTAAAAGATTTACTTAGAAAAGCAATTAACATGTGGTGTTGTTTGAGAAGTGCTTGGGTGATTAGTTTAGTGGTTGCTTTGGTGCCCAGTTATGTGATGAGCAATACGAGACGGAGATCAAATCGGCGAGCAGTTTCTAGGAGCATTAAAGAAGGGTCTCTTAAACTCGTTGGTGGGGCAGCAACCAATGAAGGCAATGTGGAGATCTTCCATATTGGACAGTGGGGATCAATCTGTGACGATGAGTGGGATTTGAGAGAAGCAAACATTGTTTGTAAGACATTGGGATTTCCAAAAGCTCTAACTGCTACACTGAACTCAGAATATGGAAGATCAAGGCGTAAGTAACTGAATTTTTGTGTTTATTGAAAATAGTTTTAAAAAAACAAACTAGATCTCGAATTGTAATAATTCGGTTGGAATTAAACCATGAAATTACTTAGCTTTTGCTAAGTTCGTTTTGCAAATGCTCTAACTGTTACAATGAATTAGGAATATTGGAAGATCCAGGCGTAAGTAACTGAATTTTTGGGTTTATTGAGAATTGCTAAAAGACAATTAAATAAATCTCTAATTGAAATAATTCAATTGAAATTACACCACTAAATCGTTAAGCTAAGTAAGCTCTGACTATTACAATGAATTCAAAATATGGAAGATTCAGGTTTAAGTAACTGAATTTTTGTGTTTATTGAGATAATTAAATAGATGTTAAAGTGTAACAATTGCATTGGAATTGAACCTTTTTAACCAATGTTCGTTTTGCAAAAGTTCTAACTGCTACAGTGAATTCAGAATATGGAAAATTCATGTTTTATTTAGTATATCTTTGTGTTTATTGAGAATTGTTAGAATATAATTGCGTAGATGTTAAATTCTAACAATTCAACAAGAATTAAGTTATTTAAAGTGAGGTTTGTTTTACAAAAGCTCTAAATTCTAAACTAAAGTTGAAAACTATAAATCATAAGAACAAATTGCTATATTTTTATGTTTAATGAGCATTGTTAAAATTTAATAAGATATAAACTCTTTTGTTTATTTCTGAAACTTGCATTGAGTTTTATCAATTTGTTCAACTGAAAAGTGCGAAATATCTGTAAAAAATTATATTCTATTTTGAAATATTTTAAGATTGATATAGTTTTGTTAAAGGTAAGCTAAATGTATTTTTTGATTTTCTATAACTAGATAAATTATTTCAAAGTATCTCTACCATATACCAAAACTTAAAAGAAAACACTTAAATGTACTTTTTTCATTTCATTCCGGCATATTTGTTAAATAGATGATTACAGAGATTTGTTAGTTAGATCAAAATATTACCGGAAATTACAGCACATTAACTTGCAAATTATTTAAATTTTTGAAATTATATCTTAATTGATGCTTATAATTTGTTATAGATTGAGAATAAAGTATTGCATATATTTCTAAAAATAAATTTAGAAATCACAATATTTTTTTCAAAACTTTCTGATCAAAATACTTATGAAATTTCCTTGAAAATTCTACCAACTATTTATCAGATTATGCTAGTAAAAAGTTGAATTAAAGTTGATCTCGACAGGTATGTAAAAAAAATAATAACAATAAAACAACAGCACGAGTTTCTCTAAAATGAATTGTTGACAAAGTACACACCAATCTTATATGATTCTGGTTATATTTGATCTTCTTAGAATTTTGCTTTTTAAAAAATTCTAGAAAAACTTTCCACTAGCGCAATTTTAAGAAACTAATAATTTTTTCAGGTTCTAGACTCGGATATATTTTCAGGTATATTCTTAAAAAAGCACGTTATGGTAAGTTGCACGCATAAAACGTAGTTTCATCTGCGATGTCAAAAGGTGATTTTCAAAGAAAAATTGAATTTTATAAAATGTATCTGCTGTAATATATTTGTTAAAGCTGATATTTCCTAGATCATTAAGAAAACGCCATACCGCGAGAGAAACTTTTCATCACAAATTCTCCTTCACCTCCATAACTAACTTTAAAATTTAAAGTAGGGGAGAGTGGGGTCAATTGTAACATTTTTTACTTAACTATTTTTAACTAACAAAAAATCCATGTGGTTATCAGGAAAGTACNCGAAGTACACACCAATCTTATAAGATTCTGGTTATATTTGATCTTCTTAGAATTTTGCTTTTTAAAAAATTCTAGAAAAACTTTCCACTAGCGCAATTTTAGGAAACTAATAATTTTTACAGGTTCTAGACTCGGATATATTTTCAGGTATATTCTTAAAAAACACGTTATGGTAAGTTGCACGTATAAAACATAGTTTCATCTGCGATGTCATAATTTGGTTTTCAAAGAAAAATTGAATTTTATAAAGTGTATCTGCTGTAATATATTTGTTACAGCTGATATTTCCTAGTTCATTAAGAAGACGCCATACCGCGAGAGAGACTTTTCATCGCAAATTCTCTTTCACCTCCATAACTAATTTAAAATTTAAAGTATAGAAAAAATAAGTTTAGACATAGCTAGTGTAAGCCGTGAAGTTTCAAATACTGAAAAGAAATTTTCATAATATTAAAATGCAAGCAAATTGTTGAAAGAAAACTTCTTCATTGTATGACCATAAATTATCTTCTCAAAACTTATTTTCATTTTGATATTTTGGAAAATTTATTTGAAACTTCATTGCTTACTCTAGGTTTGCCTGTACTCACTTTTTCTATACTTTTAAATTTAAATTAGTTACGGAGGTGATAGAGCATTTGCGATGAAAAGTTTCTCCCGTGGTATGGTGTCCTCTAACTACTTTACCTTGGTTCGATAATTTTGTATTTTAACTCTCATGAATGAATTAAAAAGATTTATGTATTTTTTAAAAAAACAATACTTAAACAAAATTAGTGAAAATGATTTTTTAAATAAATTTTGTAGACACATACTTTTATCATGCGATTCGATTCAAAACTTGTTTTAAGTTCGGGAAAAAACTGGACAGTAATAAGGAGGAAACTAAGTCGGGCAAGTTCGAACCTCCAATTTTAAATACGTTCCTCCTGAAACGAAATTTTTCGAAATAGGTTAGCTGATAGCTTTGAATTCATCCAAAAAAAATTTCTGTGAATAAAAGTTATTGAAATAGTCTCTTTTTTCAGAAACATTGATATTTAAAATGCAGTCAATACCCGTAACTGGGAAAAGTGGTTACCATGTTTTGATACTTCATAACATCAAAACTCTGTAGATATATATCTAGAATATAGTATTGCTCTCTCATTGTTTAATTTATATTTAAATGAGGATACTCTAGGTGTGGTAAGAAAATAACGCAAAAATATTTCATTTTTAGTGAAATACTAGAATAAAATTCTGAAAAAGGCCTCTTATTTTACAGTTAGCGAATTGTAAAAATGTATCTTCCAAAAGCGATACAAAACAAAATAATGGGGGCTCTAAAGTTTCTTTTCGATATAGCTGATTTTTTTTCAATGGTTTAGCAAAAGCTGGACTAGCAGTATCTGCAATTTAATTAAAATGAAAAAGAAAACTTAGTTTGTATCTATACAAATAGATCTGATCTTTTTTTTTTCTTTTTTTTTTTGGGCCAGACAAAATTGCGTAAAAATAACTTTTTTTTAAATCAAAATTTCAAAAAGAGTTGAAAATTGTTTATAACAGCAACAAAAAAACCGTATTATAAATTTTTTTTTTTTAAAAAAAGCCTTTGTACTTTTTCATAGAATGCACTTTTAAACACACAGCTCAAAATTTTTAGTCAATCGGTGATATTTTGATCGAATTGTAAGACCGGCCGACTCAAAAATTGTAGTTTCGAGAAAAACGCTTTTAAAATTTTCTAAACTGACACGGAAAAGCACGCGCATCATTAAAATATCAAAAAAGCTGTCAGACCCGTAATTTGAATTTTAAAAAAAAATATTACTCATATTTTACTTACTCGTCATCATTCATCATAAGTTACGCGTGCTCAAACTATTACTCAGATCTGACAAACGATTAACAATAGATTAACACTCGTCTCCGGCGATAATTGATAGATTCACATATATTATTTTCAGATCGCATGATTCGGAATTTCAGATTCGGATCATGGGTTAGAATCCCCTTCACCATCAGATTAACCGTTCGAGGTTTTCGTGTTTCACTTTCTTCAAATAACGCAAATAAGATTAAGTACATCAAAATAACCTTCACGAATCTCCAATTTTTCCCAATGCAGCTAAACATGGAATCAGACTTGATTCCTTAAAAAAGTGTTGTACAGCTGAACATTTTAAATTTCCATTTCTTACTTTCTTTTTTATATGAATGAGTCAAAAGGAACTTCTTTTTAAAGAAACTATCTCTAAATCAGAAATTCTGAGGGAAAAAATTTAATTTTTCATTTTATGTCGCGATGGCTCAATAGCTATGACTGAGCTGTCATTGCAAAGAACTAGAGTTCGATCCCCAGAGGCAGTTAAAGCCCACCTAATTTCAGATTGATGGACATCAACTTGCCTGGTTAGTAAAGGCAGTTTAATGCGCAACGTTTAAATTTCCACAATCATGCCGTTGCTCACGGAATTATCGAGTCGTAATCTCCATGACCCCCTGGCAAATATTTTACAACTCAGAAAATATTATTATAACACGCTTAAAACATTTTACGATGGCATCCTCACATTTTTATTTATTTCTTACACAAAAAAAACTCTGGATAACAGATGCAAGAATGTGTTCTTACAAAATATTTTTATAAACTTAAAGCAATTATTAAAAAAAAAAGAACTAATGTGAATCAACGAGAGAAAATGCGGAAGGTCCCAGATATGGAACATCAAAAAATGTGTTTCTCATTCGGAATTAGGTCATGGTGACCTTGCTCCTTATTCTTCATCTTTCAGCGTTATTGTCTATATGGGTAATAAAAAAAAATAACAGTATGTTCATCAAGCAATATGGGACTGGAAACACCCAGATTATTCATTTGTGTTTTAAGTAATTTATTGAAGGTCAAGTTCACAGCTGAATATGCTGAATAAAGAAATCATTAAACCCAATTTTTTTTATCAGGCTTCATCAATTTTAATCAGTTATGATACATAAAAGGGTTTGTTGGGTGATACAGTTTAATCCAATAATTTTTGGAAGGTACATTATTAGTTTTGAACATTTCAAATTGATGGGCATTTCATCGAATCAAATTTTTTACGTTGATCAAGTCATTTATGTGATATTTTCATACATTTATATATTTTCAAGAAATGATTTAAAATTCGGGAATTTTTAGGAATTAGTGGTGGGAAATTTTGACATTTTTAGAAACTGTGCGTCAAACTTTAAAAATTTTAGAATCTATTTGCGTATATCGACTGAATCTGTAAATTAATTTAACTTAAAATTAACTTTAAATTTATTCACTCTCTAGAATCCAAACAAGTATTATTTCAACGTTTAACCACTTGAAATTCGAAGAAGAAATATGATTTAAAAGGTATCCAAAATTTATGATTTTAGGGGCAGAGAGGGTGTAATGTTTTCCTTAGGTAATCTTTTTTTTTTTCATTACTAGGGTCTATATGAGTTATTTTATATCATTTAAATATTTGAAAACCAAATAATAATATGCATAAAGTTTCATTTATGAAATACTTAAAAAGTTCTAGAAGAAAAGAGAAAGGGCTCCCTCAGGAGGAGGGGATATAGTACTTCCGTCATATTTTCTGAAACGTGAAGATAGAATTAGAAGATTTTATGCGCTAAAACTGGAGGTACATTTTGAATCTAACAAAAATTCAAAAAATGCCGTCTTATACATTGCACAAAAAATAAATCGATACATAAAATAGAAAAATAAAAACGAATTACCCTTTCACGAATTAGGATTCAATCTGAATAGTTAGAAGGGGTGATCTAAAATATGAAAATTATTTAGTGCAGTCAGAATCATTAAATTGCGGTTGAATAGTTCCTGAGACATTTTTAAATATGCAACTTCTTTAAAATTCAATTTCTCAGAAACTATTCAACCGATTTCGTTCAAATTTTATATTTTACCCTATAAAATTACATTCTTTAAAATGTTGCCAAAAATTTTATACCTTAAAATTCAATTTTTTAGACTATTATTAAACAAAATAATAAATAATAATTAAAAATCTTATTAAATAATTAATCTTTTTTATTTTTGAATGATCTGGGTAAAAACCAATATTTTTCATAAATTTCATTTTCTTATAACATTATGCAGAAATTTGAGGGGTTTTGTTTCACTTTTTAATTTAAAATAAGATTGAAAAATTAATCTCTTGCAATTTTTTTGAGAAACATTTTATGCAGTCATAAATTCAAGTCAAGTTATCTTCAACATATATTCAAGTTACTATTGAAAGGTTCGCATTGCAGAATATTTAAATCAATTACACTTTAGAAAAATGTTTTATGAATGAAATTTTCCAAATTCACAATTATCTGAAACATTTCAAAGGAAGAGGTAATTGATGGGGAAAATGTTCACAGTGCACCAAATATCGTAAGTACACATTTTAATAAAGATTGGTATACACATACAAATATAAAGTGCAACGTAATTCCCATTTACTTCAAAATAGTGGAAAATATGTAAACACTGTCTGGGTAATTATGAATGCAAAATTACTCTATAATTAAAGTTTCGAGGAAAGCTTCTAATATACAGCTGCAGATTGAAATATGTAGAATTTCAGATTAATATTCCAATATTTAGTAGCTTTTTACGTTTAGTAACAAATTGACTATTTCCCCTGAATGCCTCAAATGCATTCACTATTATCCACATCGAACCTATAGTAATTGTATTCGGAAATTCTCTGTCCACAACATAGAGTTCATACTTTGCAACAGTAGTGTTTCTTTAATCTTACAAATTTATTGATTTCGATTATTTTCAGGGAAAATTTGGATGGACAATATATACTGCCAAGGAAATGAGAAGAAACTGGAAAATTGCAGATTTGACGGTTGGGGTACTCATGACTGTTCTTTAGCAGAAGCTGCTGGTGTTGTATGTGACACCAATGGCAAAAACAGCAGTAAAATTCAGAGTTTTACAGCACAAACTGAAGCCACAATAAAGCCAAAATTAAAGGTCAAGTAAACTGCATGGTGTTTTATGATTCTTTAAATGCTGTTTGATTACATTTAAAAGCCCCCACTCATTTCTAGCAGGAAAATCTTTTATTGATTGCAAAAAAAGTTAATACTTAGATGCATAGTTTTTCAATTAGAAAATATCTTCGGTTTTTTGCAAATTGCTACACGTAAATGCTTTGAGTTTTAGATCACATTCGATAAATGGGAAATGGACTACTTCAGTATATTTTCAAACACAGCCTCTAAAAATATTTGAATTCTTTGATAAATTTAACAGCTCCTTCAAAACTGTTACCTAAAAAGTTGTGAATCCTTCCTCAAAACAACATTTCTGATTCTCTTCGGATATATATAAATTTTAATAATGTACATGAACAAATAACAAAAAATTTAAAAAATTATCGTGTTTTTAAATTTAATAAATCCGTCTTTTTCTTAATGAAGCAAAAAAAGTATTAAATTATCAACATTTATTTCCTGGTTTACAATAGATTACAATCTTTTGAATATACAAATAAATATACGTAGCTCTGATCTTTCCAAGTAGCAATTTAGATATAGTTTAACAACACTATTAATTAAGTCAAAAATATGCATCCCATCGGCGACAAAAGGACCCAATTTATCAGAAAAGGTAAAATTCATGGGTCCGCACTTATGGTGAAGGTAACTGGGTCAATCAGCCAAGTCATGTAATAATTTGTTTATTAATTTTTTTTTATTAATAGTCATTGTTGTTTTGTGAAATGCAGTATTTAAGGATTCCTCTGAAATGCAATTACTTTTAAATATATCGATTATAAATAAGAAAGTTTGTCATATTGATCCCATTGTTTAGACCTGTACTGTAATATTTCGGCATTTTTAAAAAAAAAATTTAAGTATATGTCTATGCTAGTGTGATGGGAGGAGTTATCGACTATGTCAACATACATCTATGAAAAAGTACCTCCCTCACACATTGGTGACCCGGACGTGATGTGAACACGCCTACCTTGACAGAAACTCCCACTTCGATGGATGGTCCACATTGAGCAGATGACTTGCTACTTGTGACTGCAATATTATCCACCTCCTAGCGCTGTTTCCACTCAGTCACAACGTTGGCCTGTATATACTCGACTGTCAATGTCGACACACGACAGTGACAACGACTGTGAGCGTAATACAGCTCTCACGATCAGCACTCAAATATTCGGTGATCTTAATTCAGCTCTTCCAGCTTCTCACAAAACAGCAGTGAATCAACTAGTGGCATCCGTTCATCAAATTCTATAACAGAAAAAATTTTTGGTGGGGGAGTACTGTAGTGTGTCTATCACTACAAAAATACAATTCCAATTGACTAGTATATAAGACACGTTTACTCTATTCTATGTTGGGGTACCTTATGATAGATGAATATTGACATGGTCGATAACTACTCTTCCCACACTAGAAATATCTTTACACCGAATGTGAATGGGTAAAAATAGCTTTGTTCATAGTTGTAAAAAATAAAACCTGTATAAGAAGTTATAATTTTTTATTGCCTCTGGCGTGAAATTACCCGTCACTTTATTGGCAAGGGAAATTTTATTGTAATTCCTTTTTTTTTCACTTGAAACTTATGCAGTAATGCAGTAATTATAGCGAAAAAAGGTGTGTGTTTTTTCTTTGGAAGAACTAATATCAAAGACATTTTTTGACATAAAGATTTGTTATTATAAGTGATAACTCTCTTCTGTACGCTTCCTCCTTTTTTGAGAGAAATGGCGGTGGTTTGAGGGAAAGAATAAATTTCTTCTGGATGGACAAATAAGACGCATTTTCTGATGTATTATTTTAAGCTAAATGGGATGCCTGCAAGTGACGTAGTGTAGGTATCTCGATCCTGATTGGTTGTTGAAACGTGGCATTTGTTTACGTTAGAAACTGTTCTTTACATTCCATATCGAGTAAGCAAAGCCCGTCAAGTGTCAATTCTCTTAAGTGACACATTCTATATTCTTACACGAAAATTCTTTCACAAAGATTTAAATTCTTTCACTGTATATTTCTTACTTAACACAAAGACAGGCATGAAGCCATGCAGAACATAAACTAATTATGCATCGAAGTTGCTAGGTACACAAAACAGAAATGTAGCACGGTTGCAATAAAATTCATAAACAAATAACAAATCTAAGTTAAGTAAAAGAAGCAGACGAGAAAGAATTATATTTCAATAAATTCGGTGGACGATACTGCGCTGTATTTAACTTCACGTTAGTTAAAATTTTAACTTGTGTGGAGATACTTAGCTTAACTTTAACACGCCGTTTTGCTTATAAAGTATCAGCTGGTGCTGACGTCATACGCCATCCGTGATCTTCTTATACTTAAAGTGCAAGTACCCAATTAAGTGAATTTGGCTTCAAGACGTTCGGACTTATGATTAGAAGCTTTTATGAACGAGAAATACAAATTTCTATTTGCATCTAATTGCGCGTCCGATATCGCCACAAGTTAGACATTGATTCAGTGCATTTTTACGCTAACGCAAGTGAATCTATACGCAAGTCGATAGAACAAATAGTTTAAAATTTGATAGAGTTTTTATGTATGAAAAGTATTACTTTTGACACGTAGTAATATATTTACTTTACATCATTATCCAGGTACAACCTGAACATTTAAGGTATATTTTCTAATGTAATTTTTTACGCTAAGTTGAATGAGACCAAGATCGTACTAATAGTTTAGAAGCTATAAGAGTTTTCTTCATAATAAGTGCAATTCGAAAACAGTACTTTTCATACAAAAGAAATCAATTTCATCTTTTGACTTTAAGATTCGCGCTTGATCTCATTCAATTAAATGCGAAATAATATATAGTCTGTATATCAATGTAAGATGTGCAAATAAGTATAAATTTGTACTATTGTACACAAAACAGGCCTACTTGTACACAAACTCCTAGGCCAGGGCCTCTCAATCCTTGTGATAAATCAGGCTCTGACCACAGTCTCCCACAAAACAATGATGCCCAGTAAGTAAAGTATTCCTATTTATTAGACATTAGCTGACTGACCAAGCTGCTAGCTTTGTGTAAGCAAATGAGGACTGTTGAACTATACCTTTTTGATAAATCAATTGTATTTTCTCTTTTCAGAACCATAATGAAAAAGACTTGGAAGTTCGTATACTCGGTGGTCGATCTACTAATGAAGGGAGAGTGGAAGTTCGATTTGGCAAAAGCAAATGGGGTCTTGTTTGCGGGGACGGTTGGAGTCTGCTGGAAGCTAATGTGATTTGTAAACAATTGAATTTAGGATTCGGGCAAAATGCAGTGCAGAGTGCATTCTTTGGTGGACATCACGAAAATATTGTTATCAGTGGAATCAAATGCACTGGAAGAGAGTCAAATATATCGGAGTGTTCGTATGAAAATTTTGGTCAAGTTGAATGTCCAAGGAAGGATGACAATATTGCTGGAGTTATATGTGCCACTGGTAATTAATTTGTTATTATTAAGCGAACAATTGCAAGTTTATCAGCACTGTTCTATTTTGTTAAGTCCATCTAACGTTCTTAATCTTAAAAATCAGCAAATTTAAAGAATTTGTTTCAGAAAAAGAAATTATATACTTATATAGTTATATTATTAAGTGACTTGAAAAAAAATCTTTATTAAATAGCAGAATCTATACAAGTAAACAAGTATAGTATTAGAACAACCGTCTAAGTAAAAATTAGAAATGATCTCTGTAAACAATCCTCGTTACTAACATTCTATCGTTCTTTATCTTCATTTTTACCTAATTCAAAGAATTTGTTTCATTAAAGGAAATTAAATGCTCAGTTGTATTATTTAGCGACATAAAAAAAATACAAAAATCTTTATCAAACAACATGATCTATGCAGATAAACAAGTATAGTAGAGCAACATACTAAGTAAAAAATAAAAATGGCGTCTGTGAACAATGATCATTACTAACATCAGCTGTTACGTTTACTTTTAACAAGAGCTTAAAATGTGAAAAGTTCAAACCTGTGCAGGCAAGAAATTCACAAATGCACTATCTACTTTAATTCCCTACGAGGCATTATTGTTCGATGCCTTATAGAAATAGGAACAATATTTTCTATTTCTGTGTTACGAATCACAAATGTATTTTTGATATTTCCTACTGACGCATTTAACACGTCGTTCGTGATTTTGTGACAAAAGAATCTTGGCGTGTGTGGCACGTCTTTCCAAATCTTTTCGATTGCCAGTAATATGAAATCATCCTACCTTTCTGCTCATCAGGATAATGCTCATTATCATTAGTATTGAGCCGTGGTGGCTCAGGGGATAGAGCGCTCGCCTCCCAATGAGGTGCCCCGGGTCTGAATCCCTGTGACGATTGATAGATACAATTTCGGCACCCGACTTACACCGACCACAGTGCTGAAAATATCCTCAGTGGTAGACGGATCATGGGTTAGTCCCCTTGCCATCAGGCTAACTCTGGGAGGTTTCCGGTATTTTTCCTCTCCATGTAAAGCAAATGCGGGTTAGTTCAATCAGAAAATCTTCCTCGAAGTTAAAATTTCTCCCAATACTTCATCCAGAAGTTCTCTTTTCTTCTGGATTGGGTTCAAAATGACAAGGCTACGGAATTGAACATTGGAAGTCGTAAACTGAAAACTAAGTTGACTGTTCAACGACGGTTATAAAACATCGTTAGTATTGCGCATAATAAAATTCAAAAGTGGTAATCATCATCTTAGGAAAAAAAATTCCTATTTTTCTGAATTTTTCAAAAATAATTATTTTAAAAGATTGTATTTAAGGGGATAAAGGAAATACATAAAAAGCGAAGGGGTTACTTGAATATCAATTGAAATAACTCATTTTGAAATAGATACTTTTTTTTATAACCGTCGTTGAACAGCCGACCCAATTTTATTTGTTTACGACTACTAATGTTCCCAATTACGTAGCCTTGTAATTTTGAACTCAATCCAGAAGACAAGGGAGTTGGGTGGCTGGATTGACTATTAGGAGAAATTTGCCTTCGTGGAGGACTTTTTGAGGGAGTTAACCTGCATTTGCGTTACATAGAGAGGAAGACCACGAGAACCCCCCACGGTTAGCCTGACGGCAAGGGAAATCTAACCCATGATCCGTGTACCACTGAGGATATTTCACGTCAGCACTGTGGTCGGTGCAAGCCGGAAGTGGAATTCGTATCGACTGGGATTCGAACCCAGTCGATACGAATTCCGCTTCCGGCTTATTACATGGTTTTGTCTAATCACGTGGTTGTGCATGGCGTGTTAACGTTTTGGCTGTACAGCTTAGCTTTATTGTCAAGCTGAATCAAATTTCGGATAGGATTTTATTGCATATCTGCAAGCAACGTTACGCATGTGTACTACAGTCGTAACTGTTTGGTTGACCCACACATATTGTCTCTCGAAAGTATCCAGTTATTAACCTTTTCATGCGCCACTAAACGGCTCCGTTCTTTGCTGATCAACCTTCACGATCTTTCTTTGTTTCTTGACGATGACGATTGTTAATTAAAAGTTAATTAATTAAAGAAGGTATGTTTATTTAGAGAAAGCTCGTTTTTATATGATTCCGTAACTTGAAATATCGTAATTTAAATCGTCTGCACTAACTAATTAGGATATTTGAGGTCACCCGCTCGAACCATTAAGTTTGAATCCTACTTCGTGAAAATCTGACCATTAGGGGATCTAAGATTATTCAAAGTGATTCCATTTTTTTCCCCCACACAGTGCATGGTCAAATGTCCATATTATTCCTTATCTATTAATTTAGTAATTTTATTCTACTAATAATTTTCCTATATTCTAAAGTGTGTTACCACAAAAATATAGAAATTAATCAGTTATTCCATTCATTCTCAGAGCTGCCAGATTTAGTGCCAGATGAGGTTGAAGTCGAACGTTCGGCCTACTTAGAAGATCGGCAGCTTTTATTTTTACAGTGTGCAATGGAAGAAAACTGTTTATCCTCAGAAGCTTATAAGTTAGATAAAAATGACTATGGTGAGTTTTTTTTATTTTAAATCTTTCAGCCGATACTAAATTATTGTACTTTTTATAGTATCTTGTCATATCTTATGTCTGTGTCAATAGAACTATGCAAGTATTCAACACATAGCTGTCCATCATTATTAGCATCATCATTGACCAGCGTCAGCATTTTTTGAGACTCTAATATACTAGAATTTTAATATCGTCAAATGGCAACTGGTGCTCAACTGTGAAAGGACGAATGTTCATCATGCGGAAGGATACTTTTATTACACTATACACTTATAATATAAGTGTAACTGTACAGGGTGTCCTACAAATATTGGTACAAACTCAAAGGGCATATATCATAAGGATTAAAAATTGCATAGGAACTCATGACCGGAAATGTCATCGTACGCCGCTACAGGGACTTCGCAATTATGAACTGTTCCCTCGTGTTGCTTCTGAACCGTCACTTTTATCCATATAAATGATCTTAATTTTATGTTTTCTAATAATTGTCGAAAAACGCATTAAAATAGATTCAGTATTAGCTGTTTTATCGTAATTTAATGATTTGGCGACAAACTTGACAAGCTCGCCAAGTCATTATATCACGATAAAACAGCTATTCCTGAGTCTGTTTGAATGCAATTTACGCCAATAGAAAGCAAGAAATTAAGGTAAGTATTGGTTCAAAGGCACACGAACAATGTTTATAAAAGGGAAGCGCCCTAATCGGCGTATGATGACAGTTTAGGTCATCAATTGCTATGCAATTTTCCATACCCTACCTCTTCCTAAAGTTTGTGCCAATATTTATGTGACCCTATGTGTGAGAAGCCCTCCGATTGCTCTCCCTTTTTTTTACAAGTTATTGATACATATTCATACATTCTACAGTAGTTTTGAATTTTGATTAATATTGAATGTCTGCTAATACATCAAACTAGAATTTAATGCCAGCATATGTTTTTGCAGGTTGGCTTTATGAACAACGGAGGCTATTAAGATTTACTGCAAGAATAGGAAATATTGGTACAACAGATTTCCGGCCTTTCCTGCCAAAGCATGCATGGGAATGGCATATGTGCCATCTGTAAGTACAAAACAAATTTTGCACCTCAAATTCTAAAAATATTTTGTGAATTATAGAATTCTAAAAATGATTTTCCGTATCTGGTCAAAAAATAGTTTCCTTTTGCGTACACATTTTTTTTTTTTTTTAACCAACAGTGTTAGCAAAATTTTTTTAAAAATAAAAACTAATTCTTTAGAATTCAATTTTGAAATAAATTATTGCACATATTAAGGTTACAAGGCAATTTTTTTTATTTGATTTAATGGTAATAGAGATAAGGGATAGAATTAGTATTTCACTATGTGCATTAGAGTAGTGGAACAAATGACCCTCAGAAAAAATTAACGATTAAATATTTCGACAAAGGGTAACACGTGTAACTTCTAAATCATTAGTCTGGACGTCTCGTGTTTACTTTCATTCGATTCAGCATTAAAAAATATATAAATCGGGAAAACAATACCTTCTACATCTAGATTTTAATAGATTATCTCCCCCAGGCCGCCAACATCTAACGCACGAGGTTGAGCAATTTTTTACCACTTACAGCTAGGAGGGTTACAGTTTTCTGCAGGTTTGAGCTTTTTTTTTATGTTCGGGTTTTGTCAATATTTGATCCATCATTTCTGCACTTTTATGAGTATTTATATTTTTAATACATTTTAGAAATAATTTTTCTATGAATTTTTGTTTTTGGAACAACAGGAATTTATGAATCAATTTAAAACGCCTTGAAATTTTGTATTAATTATGCATTATTAGCATTAATTTATGTATTGAAATTGATGAATAGATTTAAATGTCTTGAAATTTTATGATTATGCATTATTAGCTATTTTTCATGCGCCTATAAATCATTAATTTAACAACATTTCTTTAAAAAAAAGTTTCAATTCCAATATTACAAAGCTAATTATTTTCAAATGCTTAAAATTTATTTTAAAAGTAAAGATTTTAACATGGGGGGGGAATCTTTTAGTTTTACAAACTTTTGCGGCTTATAAAAACATATCTATCTGGTCCAAAAAAAATTTTCGGAGTCCGTATACCCGGTGAAAACAGAATCTTTTACCCTGCTGGGTCTTATATTATTTATACAAAAACAATATAAAAATCCTACAACTTTCTGTCGAGTAAATATTTTACATGATATAGTTCTAAAGAAGTATAGTGTGCAACTATTAAACAAAAACTTTTTATTTTTAGATTTTTTACAACTAAATTTAAAAAATATGTTTCTAAAAGAAACTTAGGATGACTGTTCGGATTTAAGTAAAATTTTCTTATGAAGTGAAGACTTCAGCTAACAGTGGACTTCAGAATTAATTTTTCATTTGATTTCCTTAAATTTTCAATAACATTCGTGTAGCTGCTGTTAAAGATTTAATAAAAGAATTACTTTAATTAATTATTAATAATGAATTAATAATATTTTAGTTAATTATTAATAATGAATTATTAATTAATAAATTGTTTTAATAAAATAATTTCAATAAAAAGATGGCTTAGTAAAAAATTTTATCAGGGTTTAATTTTTAATAATTCGATAAATATAAACGTTATTTACATTCAACGAGATCAACCCTAGCATTTCTCCATAGCCTCTGGAAAAGTTTATCGTATTTTCAATTTCAACAAAAGATTTCTATAGCAATTTTGCTGTCTTAAATGTTATGGTTTCTGAAAAGGTACAATAAATCCTATATCAAGCAACAAACAAGGGGCAAATTAGCTTTCATGAAAAACTTTTTGCGGAAAACTAACCTGTATTTACATTACACGGAGGGAAAAATTATAAAAACCTCACATGTTCAATTTTAATGAGACTGATTGGAAATCGAATTTGTTCAGCTTAAGGGTAAGAAACACTTTCTAGTTACCGATGGGTAATTTTATTCATACGACTTGTTTTCAATGTAAATGTCAAAAAAACTTTAAAAAAATTTTTGGTGAGTATTTTGTCGAGCTATGTAGGATTTTTTTAAATCAATTTTTGTAAAAACAACTGTCACGGTTTAAACGTGTGCTTTTATTTACCGGGAAATTTATCTTCAAAGATGTTTAAATTAGTATTTAATATCATCAAAATAAGTAAAATATCATGTGTAAGAAAATAGTCATGTTCTGCTTTCAACTGATATCTGTTATATAAAATGATAAGCCTACAAATCCAAATAATTGCAGTGTAATTATTTGGGTAAAAAAAAATAATTACACTGTAAATCAATATGAAAAATATTGCATTTACTCATTTGCGGAAAGCAAATTTAATATTATAGCTCTACGGATATTTCCTATTTTTCTACACTTATCTCTGACTTTTAATCATTTTGCTTTTCTTAATCTTAAATATTCCCCATTTCTAATTCTGTTTTTATGTAACTATCATATTAATTTGTTCTCACTATTAGATTTCTGAATTTCTCCCAAGCAAAAACAAAAACTTCTCGAAAGATGTCCATTTTACTAAAGTTTCCATGTATTAAAATTCTGCACAACAGTAAAATACATCGTACCTAAACCAGTTCATTTCAACTTATTAAACTGATGGAATACGTAGTTTTCCAAAACTATAATTATTTTTCGAATAGTTTCAAGGCAACCATAAATTCTTTCGTGGGTCTAGGGTTCAAACCCCAGTGGCGGATTGAAGCCCACACGGCTTCCGATCGATGGGTACTTACTAGGCGGGATTGGGCGCACAGCATGCCCTTGGACACGAAATTTCGGAACTTAAACGACCTACAACAGACTTCTCCAGGGATTATTTTCTTTTTACTAATTTCTATATAACAAAGCAAATCGTTTTCGATCCGTTGAAGTTAATTTTGAGAGCAAAATTTTTATCATGAGAGTGAAATTTGGAGTTAAATAAGACTTTGCAAGACGGAAGAAATGTTTTCTCATTCTTTTCTGGCATTTCATTTATGGATCATAATCTGGAAATTGTAGCCATTCCAATTCGAACAAAATATATGAAATAATAACATTTAATACTTAATGTATACCTTTTTAATGAATACACTTTAATCGTAAAACGTCATTTTTAGGAACCAACTAGATACTACTGTTAATATATATAAAAACCTTTTTACAAAATTCTCATTGCTTACAAATATCGTTGCTGAATTATTTCTGATATTAAAATCAGGCTTCTGCTAAATATCATAAATTGAATTCAACTTTTTTAGGAGGGAAAAATACTTTATCAATAGCATTTACTCATAAAATCCCTCAAAACACCAATTTTTTTTTTAAATGCAAATATTGTAACTAGGATAAAATCTCCATATTGAATATTTTGATTGCATCTTAGTTTTATCCAAATTATCTCATCTTCACTTTGCTTGGTGAAAATGATAGTCTGTCATAAAAACACATCAGGTAATGAAAAAAAAAAATTTATTTTTACATATTTAATTAATTCTTATCAATTTTTTTTTCTTTATGGAAAGAAAAGCTCCCTACAAGTTATTATAGTTAATCAAATATCATTGTTGATTTCAGGCATTACCATAGCATGGAAGTATTTGCACACTTTGATATCATAGATATGAAGGGTGTAAAAGTTGCAGAGGGACACAAGGCTAGTTTCTGTTTAGAGGACAATAACTGCATTTCAGGAGTAGAGAAAAAATATGCTTGTGCTAACTATGGTGACCAAGGCATATCAGTTGGGTGTACAGATACATACCTGCATAACATTGACTGTCAATGGATTGATATAACAGAGTTACCACCAGGAATATATAATTTCAAGGTAATTTTCATTTTATTTAGATATATAAGTGACCCTTATAACTTCTAAACTATTAGTCTACTCTAAATGGTCCGTTTTTGGTCACATTGTATTTTATGTAACAATTACACAGGAAGCATAGATTCTGTTGTCCGCATAGCAATTAAGTCTCCCCCTCAGTAAGTTCATTGACGGTAATTAAATTTAAGTTTGAGGCAAGCAGCAAACTGTGGATTATTTACAACTACCTAGTAAAAATGAAAAATACAATATATTTGAATAATACTGCAAACATAATCTTTATTATTAAAAACATGAAATATTAAAATGTGCAACCAACAATTGCAATACATTCTTGCATAGGCAATGGAGTGAATTATGCAGATATTTGAAGATTCCATTTCCTTAACATCTGCAATGCTAATTTGACAAGCTAGCACCCTGCATAGAAATCGATCCTGGTAAAGTCTTATAGCTTTTTAGAACTTTCCATTTGCTGCCATATATCAGCTTTCTCTGCAATTGAACACTGCTGAATATCTGGAGATTAATAGCATCAAAGAGACGATATTTCATCTACTTGAGAAAAGGCGTCCTCCAGCTACTCAACTTTTCAGACCCTCACATTGTGAGAGTTGGGGTGTTTTAAGCAAGGCGTCAGTATTAATTTTGCAACAACTAAACATATAAAACACAGTAATTTTGAAATATTTCTTGTTCTGGTATTTAATGTTTTGTCAAAAACTCAAAAATTGGGACTTTCATCTTCATACAGACAGGAAGGTGCATATTAAATGTGTTGCTGCCGTCTGTTTGACATAGATCCATGTTTCTATCACAGCTTCTAATAGTTCTTGAAAAAAAGAGAACTAGATGCTTGTCCATGGGTTATTGTCACATCTGAATGTTAACAGGTTTGAAAGATTTGATTTAATAAATTTTAAATAACTCTTTTTTATTTAGATATTGAAGTAAAGGCTTAATCTGAAAAATGGATGAAACAAACGTAACAAAAAAAAGCGGGGACATGAGTAGAACATAATCAAAAGCTGAGTTGGGTGCTATTACAGTAATGGATTACAATGATTATCTGTGATCATAATTACATTATAATCTCAATAAGAAACCTTGAATATGAGTGATTATTGTATGAACAGTGCTCAACCATGAATATCATTATTTAATGATTGAATCTTCATGTTTTAGGACTTAATAAATTTTAAATTTTTTAGTCGGTTATTTTTTCATCTATTGCAGACTAAAGCATTCAGAAATTCTTTTTTTTTTTTTTTACCCACTCTACTCACCCTTCATAAAAAATATTAATGTTATAAATATTTTTTTCCTTTTTTCAAATAAAATTTATGACCATAAAATTTTAAATAAGTCATATTGAGGAGGGAAAATAGGGGTCCTACTCTGCAGGCCATTTTCATAAAAGTCAGCTGGAATCATTCAATGCAGTGTAATTATTTTTATTGAGGTTATAGATAATAACCTGTAATCCATAGATTACTGATAGTTGCAATCGATTACATTTTTCCCAACTCAGTTCTCAAAACATCTTGGAATATTAGGGTTGATTAACTGTAATCTTATAAGAAACAAAATTGCCTGATTTTTAAATAAGGGGGGGGGGTGACTTCAAATTAGTAGAAAACTTTGAGATAATTTAACCAAGGCAAAATTTTCATTATAAGATTCTGTTGATGAAAATTGTTACAGGAGATATTTTACTTATAACAGGAAGTCTCCGGGTGTCAACTTGGACACAATGTAGTCCAACAACTACTTTTTCAGAGTGGAGTAGAACTTCATCCATTTTTCAGATAATGTTAATCTTTTTCACCCAATATCTGAAATCTAAAAGAACTATAAATTTCAGCCAAGCAAGAATTATAAGCACTCATATAACATGTGGCTAAAGTAACATTCATTAATGACAATTATTATACCTGCCACATAACTAAAAAATTTCTATATTAAAACAACTAATTAAAATATTTTATTGAGACTTATTATTTAACTTATTGATTTAATTTGAGGTACAGCGATTAATATGAAAATTATTGTATAATGAATGCAAGATCAAAGATTTTACTATATTTTAAGTATTGTAATTCATAAACATATCATTTCATACTTTTTAGGTATCTATTAATCCTGAATTCAAAGTGGCTGAACTTAACTATGACAATAATGCAGCAGTCTGCACGTTATATTATACAGCAATTTCAGCAAGACTCGTTAACTGTACTTTGCAGAGACCGTAAGAGTAACCATCTTATAAATGTACATATAGGACTATTTTAATAAAAATTTCAATAAAACTCATTAATTTCTTTTTTAATAATTGTATGTTAGTTTAAGCTTAATACAAATGGTTTGTGGCAAAATTTTTCTGTACACTTACATACTACTTATAATGAAAGTAGCATCAATATTACTGAAATGAGATGAGAAAAAAAAACTTACCTAAACAATATATCAAATGTGTAAAATCTATATTACATAAATAAATACTGACTAAACATGTGATAAGCTAAAAAATAATAAATGCAAATTAATTAATTTATCATTAAAGAAATAAACTAATTTCCTCACACAGAAAAAAAAAGTCAAACTAGAGTAAAGATAACAAACATGATTATTAGAGTGTATAAATTACTAAATATAGCACAAAACTAAACATCTTATTTTTACAATATTAGAAAAAAAATTTTATTTAGTTATTAAAGAATAAAAGTGATCAATTCATTTAAGAAAAAAAGTTCAATCAGAGCAAAGATAGTAAACTTATAATTAGAAGATGATATGTGTCTACTAAATAACTTCAATAAACTATTTTCTTACACTGCAAATTAAACTCTTAATATATTTATATAAGATAGGGGCAAGTAATAAATTTATTTCAAAACATAGCTATTTCAAGTTAGTTTTTTATGAATAAGTAAAAAATGATAAATGATGAAAATTGAAACAGATGAAAATTGAAAATGCACAATACATACATTTACTCGGTGTACCAACAAAAAAACAATTCTTTGCAAGACTATGACAGGTGTTAAGAAGTGTTATTTTAAGTTATCAACAAATTGATTGTTAAAAAAAAAATTTAAAAAAATAAACAAAAAATCCAAATTGGATTTAATCTACTAAATATGAAACCAATAATTTTTTACTTTAAACCAGGGTTGAATTTTTAGCTTCAAAAGCTGGTTTTAGACATGGAAGGTAAAAACTGTATTTTTACCTGTTATTGTAATAACTTTTGACAAAATTTTCTTCACAATTTACAATTAATTTTATTACTGTGTACATAAAAATATTCAATAATTATTTTAATATACAGTACAGAACCCGTTATCCGGAAATCAGAAAACTGGAACTAAATTCGATAAATTTTCCAACCATTTTTAAAAAAAAAAAATTTTTTTTCCTCATAAGATTTTAGTATTTTTCTTAATTTTTCGAAAGATGTTTACCTTACCATCATTTTGGAAATAATCATTAGTGTATTACTCCATCGTTTTTTCTTCTTTTTAAGATTATTTCCAAAAAAAAAAAATTTTTTTTAGTTGGGTTTAACAACAAAAAAACTGCTTTTTGTAGCGATTCAGAAAACCGGAAAAATCAGTTATCCGGAATAGCGATGGTCCCGATCGTTCCGGATAATCGGTTCCCTACTGTACTATCAAATATAATTGTTACTGTATCTTTAAGTCTTAATTTGCGACAAAATTAAAATTTTACATTTATAAGATATTAAAAATATGTAAAAAAAATTATGTGCCTTACAGATTTTGTTATTGATACCCTTTCAGCATCTATATTTTTTCTAATACACCTAGACACCTGCATATGGTCTTCAAATATTTATCAAAAATTTTAAACTTAAGATAAACTAACTGAAGAACCACTGCTATTTTATCTTATTTTAACATTCATACTTAATTGAAAACTCACATTAATATGAACCACAATTAAATACAAAACGGTATTTTTAGTAATAAAGGCAATTGTATGGAAGCATACAATAGCAAGGGATTAGTTTTACGAACTAGCCATAAAAATAATTTTAATATGCTTATTTCTTTTCCATACTGAAAATAAAATTTTAAATACTTCTTCAAATGAATAAGAAAGTTGCATAATTTATGGAAGCTTCAATAGATACTTTATAAAAGCAACTCAAATTGAAGCTAAGTTTTGATTTTGAGATACTTCTAGTACATTTAGTATATTCTTTAAAAACAGATAGATGAAAATAAATGTCCTGGTAATAAAATTAATTGAGTTAAGTTGGCAACTAACTAACTTTAATACCAAAAAACCAAAACAAATATTTTGAAATACATTCAAAAATAAAGAAATTTTTTTTTATAAAATAGCATAATAATTGTTCAATCTTTACAATATTGGCTGTACATTTACTAGACACATAATGAACAGAGCTCTCTTTAACGTTGTACAATTAAGTCAAAACCATATTATCATACATTATTAATGGTCGTTGATGATACGTTTGTGTCCCTCAGAATAATTTTATTCGGTTGCAAAAAAATATTTGATTATGAGAATAAAAAAGCTTGATGTAGAGTAAATTAGCTGCCATGCTTATAAAAATTTTGAAGCATGAAGTATAATATTTAATACAATTTTAACAGACTATTCTGTCCATAGAAAAACCAGAACCTGTTCGATGGATCAGTATTTAGAGGATATTTTCAGAATTGCAACTACAAATATTTTGCTTGCTCAATATTGATTTATTTAAGAATATTAGTATGATTGTATTTTGCATGTTAGAGATGACAAAAATGGGTCAGTTAAATTGATAATTTTATAGCAATTTTTAACAGAATATCAACATGCTAGTAATCTGCTCTAAAATTAACCTATCTATTTATTGTTTATGAATTAAATGAACTATATTAAGGGGGCATCCATAAATGCCTTCCGTAATTGACTATATTAGGATCTATATATGGACTATATATGGGGTCATCCATACTTTTTTTTTCAAGACTTTTGACCTTCTCCAACCTGCAAGAAACTATCAAATTCCCCATACCTTTACCCTCCTTGTCATGCTATATTATATAAACATGTGCTAATAGTTTATTTTAGAAACAAAACATGTTATAGATCATATTTTAGATTTAAAGTTTATTCTTTTAATGGTTTTTAATGGCATTAGTAAACACAACAATAAAACACACAACATAATCATCATTATTTTAAAGGAAAAAATATAAAACTAAAAATATTCAATCTGTTAATTTTAATTTTTTTATTCAAACCAAGTGGTGGGGTGTCTTATTTCTTGTTACCCTAGTCGAAATTTCACAAACTCGATCCCCTACATCAGTGTTTATCAAAAAACAAAAAAATTACGATTTCTATTGGCTATTTTATGCAGAGTTTACCGTTAATAATTAGTGGTGTCAACAGCCAGTTGTGATTTTTAACAGTAAAAAATATATTCCTTTTTTTATTAGTGGTACACAGCGTTACGAAAAATTTAGAAAGGGTACACAAAAGTCATAAGTTTGGGAAACACTGCCCTACATATATAAACAGCCTGTTATATTTATCTAGTAAATGTACGGCCTCTAGAATTTCCATATTTATTCTTGTAGATTTCTGGAACAAAGAGCTAAAAAAAACATAGAAATTAAATAGAAGTTAATTCATAGAAAAACTATTACACCAGAGTTCTGCCATCATCCTTTGATTAAGAAAAGGAAACCTTCTGGGGTAAACAGCATTTTAATTATTTATTTTTTAGGCTTTCTGAGGATGACAAACTAGAAGACATTTAGCTTTGATGCCATACAAAACTCACACATTATCTTTTGCAATCACATCCGTAACTTAACCCTTTACAGTCGTATGTCTACTCTCAGCCACCAACGCTTTTTACTGTTCCATTCGTATGTCTGATCTCAGCAACCACAAAGATGTTAGCCACAGCTTAATAGCAAACTACATATATTGAGACACTGTGAAGATGTAAAGAGTAAGCATTGTTCTGTATGTTCAAACAGAAAAAATTAAAGGCGGAAGAGGCCAAACTAATTATTTTTGTGACACATGTTCTCGAAAACCAGGACTTCATATTGGAGACTGCTTTGAAAGATACCACACAATGGAGAACTATAAAATATAATTTTTACATAAAATTAAAACATATTATTGTGTTACATCAGGGGTGACTGTGAGCTCAACTAAAAAATCCTGAAACTTTCTTGAGTAAAATCATTAGTGACGCATTGCAAAAATTTATGTCTTTATAAATTAAAATCATTGATATTTTCATAACAGGAAACTCTAATGAAATTATATGCAGCATAATTTAAATGAATAATTATTTATAAGTTTATTTTTATCTCTCATCACATTTATTATTCTACCAGAAAAAAATATTTTACAAATGAAAGAGATGCCAAGTATGAATTCTAGTTCTAATATTTTGAAATAAAATATACAAGAATTTCTATACATATATGTGAGCGATGATTTCTTGAAACTTCTGGACCTTGGGTTTCCGGAAACTTCCGGATTGAGGTTAGGGAAAAATACGGGAATTCAGATTTTTTCCAGAGCACAATCATCTCTGGTTACATATAAAAAAAATTAATAAAATTTTTTTTTCCTTCATAATCTTACATATTATGTATTATTGTTCATTCAGCAAAAATTAATTCCAACCAACACAACACCCCATGTATAAATTTAATATGACCGCAAAGGGTTAAACCTATTCACTGTCATCACAGGTAATTAATCTATGCAAATTTTTTTCCAAAATAATAAATAGAAACATATTGATTATTCATTACTTTCAGAAAAACTGGATGAGACATATAAAATTTCACCAGAATTACTTTCAGCTTTCATGTCCAGAAATTCTTGAGTATGATACAACTTCAAATGTCCTATCATGTTTGTAGTGGTTCCCCCTTTGCTCGAAACATGGGCTCCACAATGATGACATATTGTAACATGATTGCTTAGAACATTTCCGTCTTGGTCAGCAGGCTGGCCAAAGTGTTGCCAGATAATACTTTTCCCAGTCTTTTTAGGAATCACTTGATGATATTTTGGAATACTCAGTGCTTTTCGATAATTCACTTTGCAATTTGATATCTTATAGGTTATGTACATTTCTGTGAAAGAAAAGAAGCAGGCATTAAATAAATGAAAATGTTCAAGCAAAAAATGCATTTTCCTATGTAAATAAAGGTTAACTTTGAATATAAATAAAAACAAATTTTGAATTTTAAATAGGGATTAGTTTTATGAGTAAATTAAGATGAATTTTTGTCATA